AATTGAATGCATTGAAATCCCAACTTTACTGGGCCCTGGTCACAAAGATCCATTCCAAAACATACCCAGGAAGGAAGCCACACCCCCTGGGAGATGCAAGTGGAATTATTCATGCACAGACAATCCTCATCAGAGCCTGTCCCCAGCACAGCAGCTTCCTGCATGACAGGATTAATTGACAACTGCCTGTTCTAATTGTGATAACTTCATATCTCTCAGCAAATGATTGCCATTAAGATTCCTTTTTTCTCACCCTGAAATTCTTTTCTTTATACTCAATTGCCAGGATTGTCATTTCCCTTCTATGCTAATAATTAATCATTTCATGTAGAAATAATCAGCTGGCATAAGCAAACATAATTGTCATTCTCTTGCCCCTTTCTTAGCACCTTTTACTGTGTGGAGTCTCATCTAATTTCACTTTTAAGCCCTTAAAACCAGGATTTGGGGCTGGTGAACACCAAGCACAAGAGCCTAATGGGATCTGCAACAGTGGCAGTAGAGGAGAAGCACATTAATTATGCACATAAACATGTAATAATGAGGCTTATCTGTACTCAGAAGTGCAGCTGAGGATACTTAGCAGGCAGCTTTGGCCAGGCAATATCTCCCCTGGCCACCATTCTTCTGATCCCATGTGGAAGCTGAGGAGATGTGAAGGAATACTGTGGCTTGAGAGAGGGTTTATTTATTGCTGTGGTGTTTAGTGCTGCTGCAAGACAGGGAATGATACCTCAGCCTTTTCCTGCCCCGTTGTGCAACGTGCCCCGCATCAGGTCGCGCATCGCCGAGGCCTGGCAGGGCCTGCCCACGGAGGAGGCTGCGTAGCAGGGCTGCAGGATGTTGTTGCTTGGCACCTTCCCATGGGTTCCCTGTGATGTGCAGCATCCTGGAGTGGGAGGGAGGTGCTGGTGTGAAGCTCACAACGCCAGTGGGAGTGCGCGAGATATGCACGGGCTGAGCGTGTCCCGACAGGAGAGCCCTGGCAGGGCAGGTGAGGGGGAAAGGGGCACAGCCTCTGCCCTGCCAGCCTGTGAGGAGCTGGGCCCCACTTGTTACAACCTCCTGGTGTATCAGTGGCAGACTTGGACATCAAGGACCAAATCTTTTGCCCCTGAGATTTGAATCAGCTCTTCCCAAATGGAGCAATGTTAAGTAGTGCTGTGTGGTTCACACTGGACGTTTTGCTGCCATGGTTCAGGATTCTTGTCTCAGCTACACTTTGGAGACACAGGCTTCTGCCTCTTCCCATTCAGCTGATCACAGGTAAACAAATGTATGTATAATGAAGTCTCTAAAGTAATTTCCAGATAGACACTTTGCAAAATAATAAATCTGGTAGTACGAGATTTTATTCTGACTCATGGACTATCTAAGATGGCAACGTTTGAGTCCCACAGATTCATTTGTATGGGACTTTACATATCTTACAAGCATTCTACATTAGTAGCTTTTCCAAAAGAGCCACTAAAATTAAAGTGCTGCTAGAAACATGCAATCAAACACCACTGTGTCATAAAACATTGTTAAAGAATCATGGAAGACTAGTCTTACTAGTCTAGAAGATGATTATACTGCTGATAGAGTCCACTTGGAAGACACAAACATATCAGCTGTGCTTCTGATAATATATGCTGCACACATTTGATCAGTTCTTTATAAATTTCTTGTTTTCACCCACCATGCAATTACTTCAGGTTTATCTCAGTGATCTAACAAATTGCATTGCTGGGAACTGAAAGGATTTTGTTTCTTAACTGCTGTAATAGGTCCTATGGAGGGATGAGCATTGGTGCCTGGAGAAGGTGATTACCCCTGTGGGTGCATTTGATCACTCTTTGGGTCCCTTAGTGCTTTGTGTAAGTGGAACTGGGCTCACTTTGTCATCTGTGCACCAGGGATGCATTTCCCTCCCTCCTTATCTCACTACTTGAACAAATCTTAAAAATGGAGGAATCTTCCAACTAGATCACAATCCTTTTGGAAGAATTCCAGTTGATCACACTGTTCAGAAGACTGCAAATAAAGGAACTCTGATGCAAGGAGGGGTTTAATTTCAGATGAGGGACTTCGTTATGTCTCACTGCTGAACAGCAAAATCCCTGTATGAGGCAACTGAGACATGCTACAGTATAGTAATTCTAAGTTAAGATGTGTGAAACTGGAGATATTTACCTTTTTAAGTAGAAGGAACAGATCCTGAAGGCTTGTTGGACATGATTAATTCAGCAAGTACTGATCAGACACAGTCAGTGTGTCCGGGGGTCAGGCAGCCTTGTCAGATGTCAACAGTTTATTATGTCAGCATTCAGTAGGAGAGCAAGCACATGCTGATTTTTCAAATAATTAACAGTGCCCTTCCATGACAAAAGTTTTAGAAGAGACTCTCCAAACAGAAACTTCATATTTTCAGCCATCAGTAGAAAAGAAAGTGATTGCATTCAGGAAAGAAAAGCTGTAGCTCAAATCAGACAGGAACTTGGACATGTTAGTTGTGCAAATCTCTGCTTTCTGCAGTGTTAAGAGAAGTGCTGACATAGGCCAAGTAGTCCCTATCCCTTGGCAGTATTAGCTGGATCATTAGGAAAAAGAAACAAAGTGGAAGCTGGGTGTTGTCTTTCAAGTGAGGAAAGCTGTAGAATTGTTGTAATGTTTGACTTTTAGAGGAGGCATTCAGTGTCTCCTCCGTGGAGAGGAGCAGAGCTTCCAGCACCAGCATTCATTCCCAGGACGTCACTGCAACTTAAAACATTCAACATTGGAAATAAATCCAACATTTGTGCAGCAGTTACAAGTGTCCCATTATTGATTGTGCCTTTATGCTGTTCTGTGGTCACTGCTGGAACTTTGTACAACAGGATGGTCCAGACCCTCAGGATCCTCTCTGACACTCAGGTGCAGGCTGGGAGCTTCTGCACTTTTCTGCTCTGGCATTTGACCCAGTGGTGATTCTGCAGGGCAGGGAAAACTACAGCCTGAGCACTTGCACTATTACACTGAGGCTGGAAAAGAATGGGAGCCACTGCCATTTCCTAGCACAAAATAAAATGCCACTTTATAGTCCAATTAAAAACTGATAGTAAATAATATCACAAGCTTTTCTGCACAAAAAAAAAACCCCAAGCAAACAAACAAAAAACCACCAAAAAACAAAAAGCCCAAACCAAAACCCAGAAGTAACTTTATCCAGTTTCCACCATGCCATTTCGATGTGTACTGTGTATAAAACACCAAGCACAGATCTGCAGCTGATCCTCACAGGCCAGATCTCCCAAACTGCAGCTGGATGTAGCTGTGGAAGGGTACATGCACATCATGGGTGTCTGGAGCTGCCTGAGGAATTATGAGATGTACCCACAGTTAGTGCTGGCAATGGAATGAGTGTGTTTGCAATGCCCACAGCCCTGTATGGCTGCCTAACCTGCAACCCTTTACTGAGGATTGCTGGATAAAAAGAAGAGTGTATGGGATCTTTTCAGGAATGATCTGAAGGAAAAAAATTAGGATGTTTCAAAAAACTAAGCTGCCTTTGGGATGTCTAGCATGCTTCAACTAATGAAAGACAGTACCTGCTGCTCATAGTAACTGAAACAAATAGGTAGAAACAAATAGGATCAATTTTATTCCTTACTAATATTTAGATTTTACTTTTGAGCAATAACTATGCAAAACTGAAGAGTTACTACACACAAATAGATTCATCATAAGACTGGGAGTTATCACAGAGAGTATAATTATGATTATTAAATCCAGCATGAAGCAAAGGGTGTAGTAGACGAACAAGACAACACAGGATCTCCAAAGTGTTACTGAAGTTCATCTCCAGCATTGAGTCAAGAGCTGAAGTTTCTGGCCTTGGTTGGGTGATTCTTGCCACAGCACCCTCTACATTTAAGTTATATTAAGTTTCTCTTAGCACTTAGAGACTGTTAACAGTTCCTGAATGAAATTCTGATATATATAAAAGAGATCCAGTTATTTCTCAGATAAACATTAAATTTGCATTCATATGTCTGCCATTAAAACACACTGGTTTATTTATAAGGCAAATCACAAATTTTCTAAAAAGTTGCAGGAACATTCTTAGGTAAGATGATATATTAACAGGATATATATATATTTCTGTAAAGATTTGTCAGAAAGTAGCTAATACTGCTTTATTCTTAATTTAAACATGACCCAAACAATTTCATTTTACCTTTATGAGCTTCTAACTAAAAGTCTTTTTACTGGATCACATCTCAAAATGTTGTACTTAGTGTCTTTAACTGGCTTATATGCAGGACCAAAATGGTTGGCTATTTTCTTCCCTCTCCTTCAGTTTTACTGTTGAGACCTATTATTTCAGTAGTTCACATTAGAATATAATTTTTTGTTCAAACAAAAAAAGTATTTTTGTACTACAGATGGATATTTTAGAAATATAAGATGTTTTATTTAGAAATTTTTCTGTAAATCAAATGGGCCTTTATTGAAAAGTATGAAGAAAATATTGATGCTTCTGTCTATGCTGCAGCCAGTCATTTTGGTACAGAAATAAAGAATGGGTGCTGTCGTGAACAAATGATGGCATCTGAGAATAATTTAAAAATAGAAAATATTCTAATGCCAGGAAAGTAATTTGTGGAGAAATTTATCAAGAGACTTCCTGGTTCAGTGCATCAACACTTAGACTATTGAAGAGGCAAGATAATAGTTCTGAACACCATAGGAAGAAGACTCTGTGCATGATTTTACTCCTGATTGTAAACATTTTCACAAACAATACTTTGCTACATACATCATCAACTTTATGTATTTACAAATAAGACACCAAAAAATACTGCAAATTTGATGTCTGATTTTTGATGTTAGATCTCATTTATTTAATTCTGTACTCATTTTATTCAATCTAAAGCATGTTCATTGCTATGTAATATCAATTATTTAATAATGAGACAGCTTAGTTGTGATTTTTGTGACCATGGTGAAGATGTGCACTACTCTTCACATTGATCAAGTGTTTTTACCATTTTGTTTTTAACTGGAGTGCATGCAGCATTTTCTCAGACTGCATGCACAGCCCCCTTGTTTTGGTGTGATCTGACATGCAGTACACCTTGGGAATCTTTTAATACCAGCAGGCTCAGCAAGTAATCATTTCTCCATGATAAGAATAGCTGTGGGAAGGTTGAGTGGTATAAAAAGGAAAAAGAAAAAACTATCTGCACTTCAAAGTTTCCCTTCAGATGCAGCAGATAGAAAATCCACACAGATCACTGCAGAAGCTGTAGGTGAAATTAAAAGTTGCCATCTCCAATATATGCATTTGCCTGAAGTATTCCCTACATTTACATATTCTAGGGCAGACACAGCTGTAAATGTACATATCTCCTTCTTTATTGAGTCTGCAAGAGTTGGGACTTTAAACTGGAGTCTGTTAACAGTGAGATCCCATTTACAGTCCAAAGAATGATGTGTCCAGCATGTAGCAATCTTGATTATATTCCGGTCAGGATGTGGGAAAGATGCTATTAGAAACAAAACAATCAATTCACTCAGGCAGTCCCACAAACATGCTTTATGGCATCTGCCTCCTACTCATTTCAAGTGAGGGTTTACAGTGACACATTGGTGAAGATTAGTACACAACTGCAGGCAGATGCCCATGACTGATTCAATTGTTTGCACTGACACTCACAATTGCTGTAATTGCAGCTGGAGTGATAAAAGTCATTGCAAAAAAACAGACCAAGTGAAATCAACATTGTTCCTCAGAGATTTTATTAGCTGAAACCCAGAAATGCACAATCCACTGTTTTTCCTTGGTATGAATTCAGCACAGCATTTCCATTTGCTATGCCTGCAATACTGTCCTCAATGGTTTAATGTCAGAACATTCAAAAGGTCTCTTTAAAATCAGAACTTGTAGCAGGAACAGCCTTGCATTCAAGCCTCACTCAAAATAATTTATTTCCAGAAAAGTGATTAAAAAATAAAGGCAGCAAATGATTTTTAGACAATCAGTGTGATCCTAAATAAAGCATCTTTCTAAGCAGAAGCTTTCCTGCATGCCCCAAGCAGCACCACCATTGTTTCTTTCCTCTCTTCCTCCCATAATGGCTTAACACCATGAATGCTTCAAGCTGGCATTCCTGATGAGGAGTGACCATCTTCTTCAGCCCCTGGAGAAAGAGAGAATGGATGTTTAGAGCCAGGCAGTATCCAAAGCCTTCCTGAGAACAGATCCCCTGTAGCCTGCCAAGCCAGTTCTCAGGCAGTGCTGGAGACTTCCTTCAGACCGCCTACACTGCTGGGGGTTCAGTCCAAAGGAATTGTGAGATGATCCATGGAGGAGCTGAGGATTTAACACATTCACTCCTCACTTACAAAAGAAAAGTGATTTTTGCAAACCTATTTCAATGAAAATGGAAATCCCTTTGTAGCATAAGTCATATTCTAAAGGTATTTTAGCATTGCCATCCTGACTACTGGAAAACTTCCATTTAAATGCTCAAGACTGTGATTGTATCTAGTCCTCCTATATCAGATAAAACCAAAGAAAACCCCAAAACTTTAATGGAAAGCAAAAAGAAATCTGCCTGATTGCGTCTTTCATTAATTTATACCAGTATAGAGAAAATCAAAAATTCCAGTTGCAGTCCCCACTAACATCTCTCAAATGGGACACACAAGTGGTCAGATAACCATTGATGCAGCAAAACCTTTAACTACATTTTGTGCTAATTTTAAGAAATAAAGGAGATCATCTCCTCCCAATATTTAAATTTGGATTAGACTTGCCAATATATTGGAGATATCTAAATCAACAATGTATTGCATCAGAAAGGAGCTCTGAGAAATGAAAGGCAAGTGTTTTAAATGTTTCCAGTTCCAGCACAGCTCTGGAGAAGGTCAAATGCCCCAACAAGTTCCCTTTAGAGGGACTTGCCAGATCTGATGCTCTGATCATGAGGCACACACACCCAGGGCCAGAGACACACGCTGTGGATGATGGCAGCACAGAAGGGATTCGTGCCAGGCACAGCCAGGAGCTGCCCCCTGGCCTGAGGAAGAGGGAGGGAGGCTGTGGCACTGCAGCCCTGGGCACAGCTCTCTGAGACAGAGCTGCCTGCAGGCCTCCTGTGCAGTGCAGCTAACTCTGCTCGGTGACAAATGTGAATTTCCCATGTGGCTGACGATGTTGCACCAGGAGATTGCCCAGTTTAGGGTGCTCCATCAAAGCCAGGAGGAGAGGGCAGCTGGAGGTGCTGCAGGTGGCACAGTGGCCCCTCCTGAATGGCTGTGGTGGCTGTGCAGCTGTCCTGGGAAGGGGACACTCCTGTGCTGGGACACAGCACCCTGAGAGCCAGGCCTGGCCAACGTGCCTGATAAAGGCATTTCCTCTCCAAAGCAGACAAGACAGAGGAGCCTTTTATTGCAACAGGCTGATGAAACATCACATTGTTGCTTTCAGTGGTTTTATTTTAGTAGCTTTTGCATTCCCAACCAAGTTCAGAACTTCACTGTGGGATGCACAAAAAAGCATTTCCAGGTTCAGGCAGAAGGAATAATAAACATTAGCCCCACTCTACAAAGAAGGATTAAGTAGTCAGAGTCACATCAGGAACCAAGAGAGGAACAGCAGATGAACCCAGATGTCCCAGGGTGTACTAGAAGATCCCTCTTCATGCTTGTGCTGATGACACATTTCAGTACTCCAGCACTTGAGAACAAAATCTTACCTTTCTTACTGCTTTTGTCTAAGGAAGTCAAGAACTTTCTTCTGTCCTGTAGCCTCTGCCTGTAAGTAAAAACATGAATAAATTCTGTCATCCTGTGCACCAGGACATGCAAATACTCACTTGTGGGAATTAAGACTACGTTACCACAAAATCATTAAAATCCAATTTAAATTTTAATTCCTCCAACATAGATGAGAAAATTCTTGCTCCAGCTATTTACTACTTCACAATAGCGCCAGATTTGAGTTTGTAACAAATTCTAATCCAGTTTATAGTCCAACATATATTTTTCCCAAATAAATATCATCCAAGAGCACGTGTTATTACTCAGCTAGCACAGCAAGGGAGCACAGCTGTATGGACACTTACTATTTGTAGGGGATTCCTGCCATCATAACCAGTTTGCTCCAGATCTGCACCAGCCAGGTACCAGGCATACAGCCCATCCAAATCACCTTTAGCTGTAAGGCTGGAAAAAGAATAATTAATATTGGTTCTAAATCTTTCAGTTAATTTCAGTGAGCTCCTGTCTCCTGTCAATGAGCTCAGCAGGTGAAGGCTGAACCAGGCTCAACATGGTTGCCAGGGTAGAGAGGTAAGGAACAGTATTACAACAGCTTTGAATAGCTGAGCAAGCAACACAGCTTGATGAATCAGTTCCTTAAATTATTAGGGCTGTGCTATAAGTACTTACAACAGGCTAGTTTCACATAGTGGGTGTGACTATGACCAAAGGGGGAAAAAAAGTCACGCAGTTTCATATTTCACAACACAATATTTATCTCATGAAATGAGTTGGGGAGAGGGCAATGGCTAAATCAAGATGCAGCTGAGTGAGAGCACAAGCAGATGTGCCAGCAATCCACAGGACTTATTTAAAACCCCTGAGAAAGCCCCTTCATGAGTTTGCATAACTGTGCTTGCTATTAGTAGTTAGACATTAAGTTCATTTATGTGATATTATTTGGACAGTAACACAGCTATATTTGAGTTTGACAAAACAATTTGTAGGATTTAAATGGGCAGCAAACAGAAAAAAGAAAAAAGATCTTTTCAAAGATGACCTCTGTCTGCCACATATAACAAGCAATAGAAAGGATCAGAATGAATCCTATACAAAGAAGTGAGTTAAAGTTTTCAGAGGAATGCACACCAGGTAATTTCTTTGCACACCTGCTGGTGGTCGCATCCACAATATTTAAAGTTGATTTTTAACTCTAATTTTGGTAAAAGGGCTAAGAGCATATGCAGAATCATGCCAGTCTGTACCAAGTCTGAAGACAGGCTGAACTGAGGGGAAAGCTGGGAGGATGACCTTCAGACTTTTCAGGATACCAGCATCTCTGAGGCTTCAGACCTGAGCTTGCCATGAGCTTGCAGGTTGTTTCAGCAGAACCCTGCTGATAATCATCAGGTGAGGTTGAATCTCATTAAGAGAGGGGAAGCCTCCCCAACATTATTAAGTTCAGAGTTTTCTGCCTTAACCAGAGCTTGCTGTGGGTGACAGGCACTGTGCTGGCAGCAGGGATGGGAATGGGGATGAACTCCTGGGGGTGATGGCCAAGCCAGGCAGGCCTGGTGAGGGATGGAGAAGGCTCAAGATGCAAGGGGCAGTCATGGAAGAAACCATGAAAGCAGGGATGCAACCTTCACTTCTCTGCTAGGCTGAAATCACTTCTGTTGTTGATTAAATCACTTAAGCACCTGAAAATATGTTTTCAGGGGAGTGGACACGTCTAATTGCAGCAATCCCAGAGACGTGAAAAGGGAAAGCAAATGGTCTCTGTGTTCCTCCATGCAAGCCCCAAGTGACCCACAGCTGAGGCCTTTGGGGACAGGGAAGTGGTAGTGGGGTACTAAGAGGTTTAACAGTGCTTCAGTCTGGCATCATGAAGGAAAGGATCAATAAATCATTAATGAAAACTGCCCTCAGAAAAGAAAAGGCCCCTCAGAAGCAGTAAGGAAACAGAGGAAAGGAAAGGAAGTCCAACAGGAAGCTCAGTGGGAGGTTGGTAAGGAAACTGCAGGAAAGAGGGGTGAGCATTAGTAAAGAAAAAGTGTAAGCATTAGTAAAGCAAAGAAATTGCTTAGCAGCCACTTCTGGAACACATGAATTATCTTTATTTACAAAGCCTAGTCTCTTGCTGTTAACACTGTAAGGTCACAGGTTAAAGGAAGAAACAGAAAGCCTACCAAGAGAGTTTATATGAGCATCACCAACACTGGACAGGACAGCACACTGTATTTGCCAAACAGAATCACATCATTCAGCCAGGGGTGAAGTGGAAACCACTTTGGTCAAAGACTTTCAGAAATATTACCAACCCACACACCCAGGGCACCTCAGCCACAGCTCTGTAAGCAACAAACAAGGACAGCTGTGCTAACTCGAAAATTAACTGCCTGTTAACAGCACCATTCAGAAAGAGAAAATTAACCCTCGCTGCAGAGGGCAAAACTGTGGTCTCCTTTTGTGGCATTAGAGCAATCCAAATACACAGAAGTGTCTTCAATTTGGCAGCAGCCATTTACTGATCAAGTGAGAACTTTATTCTATGGACACTGTGATCAGAGAACAAAAGGTGATGTAGCTTGTGAGAAAATTCAGATACCAGTCTAAATAGAAGATACCTACTATTTAGTAGATTGATTATCACCATGAGCACCACAAAACATTTTCTCCAAATCCAGATTTCCATAGTCAAGCCATAGACATCTGGATTTCCTTTATACACAGTAAGTGTTAAAATACATACAGAGGATTTCTCAATTTACACTATAGGAACCCTGACTCTGTGTTTATCTCACAGATATTTATGCCAGCAATTCCAGCTACAAGTGCAACCTCCAAGCAGCAAGTCTATCACTGGTATATAATGGAATGGAACAAAGATATCTTCAATTTACACTTCCCATGATGTTTAAAACCTGCTTTGTTGATAAAGAACTATCTACCACAGTTTACTAAACTCTGATACCTTTAACAGCTGATAATCCCAGGCATCCTGCCTATCAGTACTCTTGCATTCAGAAAAATGATTATGTATCCAGTTCACAGTTTCAGCAGGGCTAATGTACCATGATGATGACAGAGCTAAGATAGCAAGAACAGTGACAGTGCTGCCTGTGCCTACAATCACACCAAAAGCTGCATTTTAAGGGGTGCTCTGTTCCTGCCAGGGGACCAGGAGCAAAGCTTGTCAGGGCTCAGAGGGTTTATAAGGACAAGGACCAATGCAGCTGTGGATTTGGGAAGTAATAAGTACAGTGAAATACACCTTGGGGTTCCTTCCTGCCCCTTCATGTACTGGAATTTCATCCTTCCCTGGGACACAAAGCTGTGCTTTATCAGCAATTCTCCTTTTCCCATGTCTATATAAAGTAATCAGGACGGACTTCCTTTATTTCAGGTATGTCATCAGCCTGACATAAGAGAAAAATCTTTTTCCTTTTTTTTTTTCTCCTTTTAAGATGAAGATCCAAAGGGGAAAAAAAAAGTCCAGCACAAGGCATGGATTGCTCTGTCCTGAACAGATTTGGGAGTGCTGTTCTTAGCTTGTCTCCACATCTCTCTCAGCTCAGACAGACTTCTTTGAAAAACAGCAAGCAGTAGAAGCTTGGTCCTTATCCTGCAGAGGGATATTTACCCTTCCTTCCCCAGCCTTACCCCCTCTTTATGTTAAATTGAAGAGGCCTCTTATTCTGAAAGGTGGTGATTTTGAAAGGCTCTATCTTTGTATATATCATAATATATCATTTTATGAAATCTAAGAATATGAGAAAGCTGGTTTGGCTTTGTGCCCCTGTTTAATTTTGTGAAGTACAGACTTGAAGTACCTCAATTCTACACAAGCTTTTTTCCCTTTAAAAAACAAACACACATCAACTGTTTACCAACTCCAGAAGTCCAGAAGCTTTCAGAATAAAGGTGTCCCAATTTATCTCATCATGGTTTGGTTTTTCAGACAAATGACAATACTAGTGCAATATGAGAAGATATTCTGACATTTTTAACAGATTACTAACACTGAGATCTCATTTCCAAACAAAGCCTTGAACCAGATACCAAACATCAACAAAGTGATTCTAAAACCAGATTAACACCTCTCACTTTAAAAAAGACACCAGCAAATGAAACCATGAAAGATTTAATAACTATGTGCATCTCCACTTCCTACACAAGAGTTCCCACTGATACTCTCAACCCTCAGTTTTGGCTGGTACTCCTTTCTCTCTCAAACATCACCAGTGCCAAAGGAACACATTTATTTTCATTTTATCTCCATAACCTTCCAAGTGAACTATTCTATTCTATTCTATTCTATTCTATTCTATTCTATTCTATTCTAAAATTATGAGTCTAAACAGAAGAAGGCTGAGGAGACTATTCATGGTCTTTCATAACAGTCTGTTTGAGCATTGGTAGGAGCAGAGGGAAAACATGCTTATAGTTTAATTCAGAGAGAACTGCATGGGGGAAAAAGTTAAGTTAGCCAAGTGCAGGAACACTGAGTTTATTAGAAAGCAAGCAGCTTTATCCTTCTAAACCCCAAGAACTTGACATATTGCCTTGGTGACAAATTCAGACTTGTAGAAATTGCAGCTTAAGGCACATTACAAGATAGAAGAAACATAGGAAAATAGTTCAAATTAGACAGAAGGGAGATGTTATAAACAGCTGGTTCTATAAACAGCTTGACCATGTGGCCATGTTCAAGCTGTGCCATGAAGGTGCCAGTGCCTGCAAAGAGGGGCTTAAAACAAGAGAGAGGACAGAGAAGCGAGCCAGAGCATGCTGGAAAAATGAGCCTATCACTAAGGTCATCTGAGGACACTGGGGAAATATCAGAGACAAACACCAACACCTCAGATTTAGTAACAGCTGAGTAACACTGTGGAAAAAGTCCACTTTGTTAGAAATGAGTATGCCAGACCCTCTAAACAGCAGAGCAAATGAAGAGCTGCAGCTCTGCAGGAGCAGGGTATGAGCAGCCACTCTGCAGCATTGTCTGACCACTGCCTGGCTCTGCTGCTGGTACAGGCCATACAGATCCAGGTGCCCAATGATCCCTAAAAAGCTGTAACAAACTGCATGAGAACCCCATTTTGTTATTTTGTGTGAAGAACCCTTTTCCTCTTCTTGGTTTGTATTTTTTTTTTGTTTGTTTTGGACATACTACTGCCAGGTCAGCCAGCCAAACTAGTTCTGCACGTGCCACCAGAAAGAGGCCAGTTTATTTGCAGAGAAATGTCATTCCCTAAACCTTTTTTTGGCAAACTGCACAAGCCAAGGGTTTAATTCTGTCCTATCACTTGCAGTGCCCTGTGAAGTGCATATTTTGATTCCATGGTAAAAGTCTTATTAGCCAGTCTCCTCTGAGCATGTTATGACAATGGAAACACTCCAGGCAGTGATCCTTAATTCCAGAATTACTCCAAGGACAGAGTCCAGTCTCCACACAGAACACACATAAGCTTCACCCTGACCTTGTTTGGTGGACATTATTACAGCACTGACTGGTCCCTGCAAGTCTCATGATTTCCTGCCAAGTCCTGATGTAAAGGCCAGTGCTCAGGGGTTTTATGTTTGTTTTTCAAAAGAAGAGAGAAGAGGAAATTAAGTAAAAATTACAAGTAATTTTTGGAAATACATGGAACCTTCTCACAATTTTCAGAGTAATTTGTAATTCAGGACCAGTACTGGAAAAAATGAAATCTAACATCTATTTCTTTTTATAACACATATCCACATTGCTATATATTGAAAGTAACTGTATGAAAAGCCAGCTCTAAGAGAATTTTATCCTCTTAAAATTAATTATAGTGATGGTGAGCAGCAGTTCACAAGTTTTGGGGTTAAACCTATTTGTCTATTTGATTTGGTTATTTTTAAGAACAATACTATGTACTAATTAGAATGGAAGCCATTCCAAAGTAAGTGAAAAGTGGACTTTAAGACAATAAAAATGGTGATTTGTGCAGCTTTATTTTTAAAGAGAGAGATTAGAAAATCACACCTTGAAGAGCTTCTTTTCACCATTCCTTAATAAGAGACTTTGGGGGAAAATGGGATATTTATTTTCTTCCAGTTCACTTATCCCCACAATCCTCTCTCCCTTGGAACTCTCTTGAGTTATTGGTGCTTTGAAACAGAGTTGATTCTTCATTTCATCACTTCCCTTGTTGCCTTATTATTCATCTGTCACAGAAAGAACTCCCTCATGTTCCAGGAAGCAACTGTTTATTGAAAGTGCTCCATTTTTGAGTCTCCTCTGAAAAACTATCCCACTCCACATCCCTTTTAGGGCCACCTCATAGATCACATTTACCTGCAGAGAAGTGTTCCAACATCCTCCAAGTCATGGCTTGACAGGTGTGCTCCTGTTTCTCGTAACAAGTTAATCACTGAGAAGTGCCTTTATGAGAGGAATAGAAAAAATGAGAAAGTGACTTGACCTTGAAAGTGACATTTTCCCCCTGAATCCAACATTGTCATTTACACAAACAGTCAGGGAAAGTTCTCACATTCTCCTTTCCACAATCACAGAATCATGAATCTTTTCCAAGGTGACAGATGCAGTAGACAGAGCTTCTCTCCCTCTCAAAAACTCATTCACACACTAAGCTCAAGGAAGTGTTAAGTTCAGCTCTAAAAAGGAAAGCGATGCACACCCTTCTCTTCCAAGAGTTCTTAGTGTCTTAACCTTAGAGCTAGTTTAATTAAACAGTAGAAATATTAGTAACTGAAATACGTGCATTTTAAAAAAATAATATGCAAATAGGCAGAATATTTATTACATAGCATCATTCCTGTATTTTAAAGAATACAGTGCCCATACATATCAGTCTTAAATAAAACATTGTGTCTTGCAGATAAGCAATGAATCTTTATGTTAATGGAGAAGCTAATCAGATTTTTAGGGCTTCAAAATAATGGTAAGTATTCTTATGAGCCTCTGTAAAAAGCACATCTTTTCCTAACTTCCTCCCCCCGATACATTTATTATTGATTTCTACCTGGAGATTTTAGGAGGTTTTCCTTGTCCTTTCCCTTAAGATAAAGGGAAAAATGGCACTGCCAGCCAACACCTACATCTTACTCAGATGCTTAAGAAACTCTGTGGAAAGGCTGCTCTCTAAAGGTACTATTGTGGGTAGAAAATGACAAGTAAAAAATCTGCAAAATACATTTTTCATAACTAACCTAGTGGAAGGTTTAGAACTAGGTTTGAAAAGGAGATGACAGAATGCTTCTGTGTTAAACAACTGATCTAGTTTACAATTTAAAACACAGGTTTTTTTCCTCCAGAAAGAGCATGATGACCCAGTAGATCTGGAATAGTTTCACAATTCCTATTTTAAGTAAATTGCTATAATATAACACTTCAAAACAAAGAGGTAGGCTTATCATTTGATAGGAAATACATGAGTTTTTCCAACCAATAACCTAAAAGATCATCTGTAGTAATTAAAAATTAAAAATAAGCTCACATACACTTTCTGCTTAATCACTTGGTGGTAGCCATGGGCCTTTCCATTTTTGAATTGGACTAAACTACTTATCTAATCCCTCTGCCTGTTTTTAGGAAACTCCATCTTCAATCAGAAGTTACTTTACAGTTATCCATATAAAGCTTATTTGTTCCATATAAGAGCTTTAGCTTCTAAACTAACCAAAGAACTGTGCATGTGCTATAGGAATCATCTCACCTTTCCAAACACAGGTTATTGACCCTAGGAGACAGATTTTATTTTTTTTAATTATACTTTGTTCCAGTTGCCAGCCAAAAAAAAAAAAAACTTCCTTTGCTTCATAGCAAAGCATTGCTGGGACAGCACATGCCTCAAGTTTGCTCAGTTATCTAAAATATTTTCTCAGGTGGGTCCCTTACGACACAGCTCGTCATCCACAAGCATCTCCTTGAGGCAGCAAACAATGGCATCCTCTCCTGCTCCTCAATCCATGGTAAGGCATGAATTCTACATGGAAGAATTTTTTAGTTTTTAGTCTTAATCCAAACAGTAATTAGCTGAAATGAAATTTGACCTGAAATAGATTAAAGTAGAACATGTCTGTTCACTCAGGCTCTCATTGGGTACTGAACAGAACATGGGGAGTGTCTGTTTACTCTCCAAGGACTGCCCTGGAGTGTTCTTCATTTCCCACCTTATGCAGGAAATCTCAGCACGAAATGAGCATTTTTTAAAACAAAAGCTTTGCTATGGGACAGCACTAAAAGATAAAAGGCTGCAAAGCATGTAATGTGTGGTATCTTCCCTCAATGTTCTCCACCTGTGAGGACTGTATCTCTAGATACCAGCAAAAATACAGATTTTCTATTTCTGTTGTAACTATTTACTCCTTACTGGTAGGAAGAATCTCTCCAGACAGCCCTTCATACCCCACAGCCATTCCTGCTCTGAGTGGGGCTCTGTAAATATCTGGTACAGACAGATTTGGGATCATTTACCCCACTCATTTAATTTAAACAGTAAATTTAAACAAGGAAAAAATAAAAGTAGTTTGAAATAAATTAAGTTTGTAAGCATTGTAACTGATAGTGTTTACAATAAATGCTTACAATAAAGCATTTCCAAACAGAAGTACAATGTCCTGATGAATCATTCAAAGTCACATTTCTTGGAAAAATGGGAAGAAGTGCTGTGCATTACTGCTTGTTAAAGACAGGGCAAGGGAAGGAAGACTAGGGACAAATAGCAATGCAAAGTTTCAAAGTGTCAGATTTAGTAGTGAGGCTGTGAAGTCCAAGAAAGCAAACAGACCACTGTGACATTCCCACCACTCAGCATGGAAAGTATGTGGGAGGGAAGGCTCTGCAGCGTGTTCCTGCCTGCACCGAGCGCCATCGACATTCTGAGCAAACCTCAGCCTCTCCTGAGCACCACTTCTGCTCTCCTGCACCCACCACCAGGGCACTGCTCATATCTCAAGAGCCTGGCTGTGAATTTTCTGATACTGTTATGTCTTAGGCACAGGAGAGGTATTTGTCTTTAGAAATTGTTTCTTTAAGTGCTGCTCTCCTGTGGCTTTACAAAAGCCTCGCAAGGGTCACAGCTGAGCTGATCTGAAGTTCAGGTGGTGTCATGAGCCACGAACTTCTTGGGAACGGATCAAATGCAATTCCTGTTCTAAGGTGACAGCACAAAACCAGAACAGAACTGCTGGACAGTCAAAGCTCAAGGTGCAGAGGGATGACAACCTCCCCATGTCAGCCCTGGCTTGCACAGCTCCGTGCTCATTTTAGCCCCACCTGATAATGCTTAGCAAAAAACAAATGCTTAACATTGTCACCTGTGAGCTGTTCCTGACCCTCCCTTTTCTTACTGTGTTCTGTCACCAAACCATGGCTCTTGGTCAGACACAGGCTGTAGAAACAATGTTATTCTGCATATGTTACTTGAGACAGCTTTTTAGTAGTATCAGTTATTCATCCCTCTCTGAAGGAAAAAACAAGAAGGCAAAAGGTGTTTCTAGTGTCTCCTACCTGCTAGGTTCCATTGTTGATGACACTGGACATTAAAACTTGAGTATATACTACTATTTCTAATATATTTGTAGCAGACTGTCTGATTTGGTGCAGTCTTCAACATTCAGCACTATGAGCAAAGTCTGAGTTCCAGGTAAAGACATCCACACTCTTCCCAGTTCTTGAGGGCTCTGGACTAACAGGAATCCAGGTTCTGTGCAGTACCTGTCATCCCAGGCCCTCACCTGGCAGACACTTATTAAAAGTGAATTGACTTCAAAAGGGATGAATCATACATGTGAAATTAACACACATGTAAGAGTTTGCAGGACTGGGGCCTTAGGCTGCACACCTTCCACCAACTCTCCTTAAAGAAATGCAGGTGTAATGTAGATCCAAACTTGACTGGCTTCATTCTTTTTCATGCTTGCTCCCCTAGCAACCAGAATGGTTATGGCAGGATCAGCTTAGTTTCACTTATTTGGTTTTCTGCATGGTATCAGTGGGAATTTTGTGCTCAAACACTGCAAGGACAGGCTGCAGTGTGCTTCTTGGAGTCAATGGTAGGTAGATTTTCTCTCTGCCTTAGATTTCCTGAAGTAATGTAAATGTAACCTTTCAAAATATCAAGTATTTAAATTCATATTTACGTGGGAGGTAATTTTACTACCTCTAATCTGATGTTCTCACAGCACTATATGAGCAACTCCCCATTTTCAACCTTTTACCACTGCTCTACAAGTAAATGGAAGCACTTTTACTACTTAAAATATACACAATTTTTATTCAAGACATTTTCCTGCTGAGAGAGTTTCTGTTATTAAAAAAATATTATTCTATTGTTTTGAAAATTAATTATCCCTCGAGGGTGCTGTAAGAAATTAAAGGAATGCTACTTATTTTGATATGTCAAACAACTGGCCTAGATTAACAGTGGTCTGTTTAGCCTCATGCATAAAGTGAGAGAGACTACAGGCAAATTGCAGAGTTACAAATGAAAAAGCGGAAATGCAGTAGTTTATTTCTTATTTAGAAAGAAACAAAGAAAGAGTCACTTAAAGTCAAAAAATGTAAGAGCCTGTCATTGACATAAATCAAGTCACTGGTCTATCAGCTGACAGTGCTATGTTAAGAAGCTTTTAAGAAGAGACATAACTCCTGGTCATTTTTACAAATTAATAAATGGAAGAGAGAAATCAGTCGTCATTACACAGGTTTGCATGCTGGTTAAAAGGCAAGCCACTGAGAAATGTTACATAAAAGACTGGAAGAAAGCTATTTTTAAGATGAGTGGATACTGTATTGCAGTTAAATGCCAATTAAACAAATATTAATTCTCAGAAAATGGGATTAAGCTGATGCAATGTTCAGTAAAATTGAGAAAGTTACAATATTAAACAGTTTAAAGCATTGACTACTCATTATCATCAGTTTCCTCCCTCTTCCCTCTCTGCCACTTTCTATCAGGATAATCTCTTCACTTTCAGCTGCAAGTGTTTAATAAATAGAATTGAAATACTTCTGTAGCAGAAATCTTTTTAGTGGGTATCTAATTACACACATATACAGCTGTCTGCTCTTTAGCATTCTCCTTTATATGCTTACCAGTGTGAAATGCACTGTGAGTACACAGCAGATCATAAATACACATTTATGAGATTAGTTCTAAGTCAACTCTTCCTCTCATTCCAACAGTAGAAACAAAAAGAGAAACTGAAAACGGTTATGGTGCAGTTTCCTTTTACAATTCCCTGCATCAAAATGGGTGTGCAGTTTTAAAGAGCTTAAGAGTCATAGTAGGAGTCTAATATAGGAGTGGCAATTCTGAGGAATCCAAACAACAAGCTCATGTGAAATTCCTCAGGCGGTAGATGGGTGCGGTAAAAGAAGTAGGTGCCTGATTTGCAGGAACATCTAATAGTATCTAATGCTTTAGCATTTTCTCACATTGGACCAGAGCCACCTCTATTCAACTCCAAGGTTATTTGTTTGATTTGCTGTTGGGCTTGTTTTTGCTTTAAGACTGCAGAGCTTATATATTCATGAGGTAAGGCAGCAGGCACAGAGCAGTTTGGGACCATGCAGGAGGAATGGCAATAGCACCGCGCGGCCACGCCGCGCTCCAGCTCACAGCCAGGGAGCTGCTGGGCTTCTGCAGCTGCTCCTGGAAACAGAAGAAGCCTCCAAGTTATCCCTGCAGCCCATGGTAATCCAGGACTGCCAGACCTCCCAGGGAGCTAACTGCAGCTTGACAGACCAGGTGAACCTGTCAACATTAGAAAGCTGTAGGAATATCTGAGGACATTCACCCAGAAAGACCATGAAAATTCAATCCATCTGAGCTCTTTTACAGAAAAAAATGGCTTTTCTCCTCTTTTCTCCTGCCATGATACAGACTGAATATGAGATAAGGAGCTGAAAGTGGATCAAAGACAAGGAGAGATTAAGGTGTGCAGCTTCTAACATGCTGGAAGACCAATGGCTCTATGAATCCCCAGGCTATACAAACTAAATCTTAGAAAATTAAATTCTGATTACTGATAACTTTTATATTCTGTGATATGGCCATTCCTTAGGACTGTACAACATGGAAGAGACCAGTAAAGGGCAAGTCCATGACTACCATTCAAGAACTGCTGACATTCATAACAGCAGGAAGAGGAAATCCACAAAGCAGGCAGAGCCATGCAACCATCCCATATAATTATGAGTGGGTGGAAGGGGAAAATCAAAAAACCAGTCATCCAGCAAGAGACTCAGGAAAGCACTGGTGGAAGGAGAAGATTAAAACATGTCAACCTACTGGTATATTTTGTGCCAACTGAAACAGTCTGGTCTTGATGAGAAAGGGAAGGGCAGAAAGAGAACAGACAGCCCATGGTCCTGCACTCTCACTTCTGACAATCAAAAGGAGTGATCAGTTTGGCTCTGTTTTATAAGGAAGCTTCACAATAAAGAGTGGAGCCCTGAAATTACGGACAAAGTCTTGGCGGGAGGACAGCAATAATTACCTTATGCTAAAATTCTGCATGCATAACAAGTTGTTTGCTTTCATTCCACATTATTTTAAAAAATCTTTTCATTTAGGCTAGTCACATCCTTTGAAATAAGCTGATACGTGTTATTTAAACTGCTGTCATTTACACATGACTACTGAGACCAGACAAGACCAGACCACAGGATGGATAGAGTTGAAATCCAAAATGACAGAAGGTTTATAAACCTTACATGGAGCAGCACATGAATTGTTACCTGAACTTGATGGCGTTCATCAGAGGGGTAGATCCATATCTGTCTCTGGCATAAACAGTTGCACCAGACATCAACAAATACTCAACTAAGGGCAGGTGCCCTTCAGAGGCTGCAATGTGCAGGGGAGTTCGGCCGTCGTAGTCTCCACAGCTCAGGTTTCCACCCTACAAAAGGACAAATCCTTCACATGCCAAAAAGATACTGGCTGCACATCAAGCTCTTGTAAATGTCACACAGTAGCATGTATACATCACATTTTCATTCTGCCACCAAATTGTTAAGCCTGTCCATTAAGTATCCAAATAAGCCTGTCAAACATAAAGTTTATCTTGCAGCATTGTTTTAGTGCCAATAAAGATATTTATTCCACCTCCTGCATGTTTCCCACTGAAATATATTCTTTATTACAGCACACCATGGTGCAGCTTTGTGCCCATAGACTGCTAATTGTTCTTGTCTTAGTTAATTCCTACTTTCAAGATATATTTATCGTTTCTTGAGGCCCATTACCAAAATCTCAATAGTAGGGTAAACCAAGGCAAAGAGGGGGAAAAAAAAAAAGAGATGACAGGGAAATGCCTGATTTTTCTTTGGGTGTAACCCAAGTCAGAGCTCTAGGGAGAAACAGAAATTCTGAATTAGCACTGGACTATGTTTTGCTTAAACATAATTTTCAAGTCCTTTTTTTATTCCTGACAGATTTACATCCAAAAGGTGGATACTATGAATATGCATAAGGAAAGTTAAGCGAAAAGAAAGCAGCACAAATCATTTTAAAATGTTCCAAAGTTAGCAGATAAGAACTTGCATTTTAATCTACCTGTATTTTCACAGTTCAAAAGAAAATGTAAACAGCTGAAAACCAGAGGGGGACAAGAACATACCAGTTCTGAAAGGCAAAGACCAAGAAGTCTAAAAACCATTTGTAACTGTCATAGCACCGTGACTCTAAAACTTAGGCTGTCACTTTCCATGAGTATGGCTTCCTATCATCAATTACAGTTTTGTTTTAAAATTAATGTTTTGTACACACTGTTCATTCTACATTACCATTTCTGCTATGGCTCTTATTGCATCTATGTCACCCAGTTTAGCTGCAGCACAAGCCAAAGGTGGAATTAATGCATCTCGTACGGCTTCTAACTCCTGAGAAACAAATAAAATTAAACATTTAATACCAGCCTCGCCTCTAATGCGATTGACACCCAAGTCATAAAAACACTGCCCTTGCTTTCATGTAAAGTTCCAAATTAGTCATTTGTATGTTTAGAAATGGTAGCATTTAGTTCTTGGAAGGAAAGAAGTCTTGTGCATTTTGTCAGTCACACATCCATAAGATTTATACTCCTCTCTGGCAACACTACAAGTACCTGATATCTCTATAAACCATTTAAGGTGCACAACTAATTGCCATCTCTGTACTGCCATAGCTACACATCAGTACAGTAGGAGAAACAGTGCTGGGGGAAGTTGGAAAAGACCATATCCTCAAGACTGGATCAATTTTATTCATGTTATTCCTCAGATATTTGTGTAACCTGTACTTTCAAACCTATGCTGACAAGCCTCCTAGGCCCCTAAATATTCTCCCCATTTCTCATGCTTACTAAAGAAGAACTAAAGAATACATTCAGTATTCATTAGTTAATAAAAATCCCATCCTCCCTGAACCTAAGTCAAGAGTATTTGTATAACCAGTACTTTATTATCTAATTTATATTTATATTATATTTTCTAATTGGGCGGGACTACACACCACAAATTACACTTGTGTAATGCTTCCTTAGTATCAGCTTTCTATGACTGCATGTACAATTAAGCTGTTTTACCCATTATTATTTGGATTGCTCCAAACTGTCAATACATTTGACCACAAAAATATAAAGCAATTCTTCATATCATTGATACCCTGAATTAGAGCATCTGTCTGAGGCTTGTTATTGCAACCAGCCAGCCAAGAAAGTAATCCCAAGAGGGGGCTACAAAGGAGGGGGGAAAAACATTAATATGTTTTTAATTAAAAACATTTTAGTTATAGAATTGTCATTGTGTCCTTTCTCCCTAACTCCATATTCCAATTTTCTTTCAGCTTTGCTGTTCATCTTGTATCCAGGCTTATTTAGCTCAGTTTACAGCTTTACATGATACCAATTTTAAATATTTAAGTATATACCTCCTTGCTGCTGATACTTAGAGATTTGGCAATCACTTGAATAAACTTGCTATCTCTCAAAGAGATCTTGGCTCCTGTGGGTACAACAGTCATTTCTCCTCTTAGATTCTCACTCAGCATCTGAAAAGCAAGGAATCAAACCCTTTGTTAGCAGAGGAAAAAATGGTGGTAGTCTAATAAAAAAAACCTTATAATCAAGTTAGAAAACTGTTTAGAGGAATTATGGAAACTAATTTAATGCAGACAAAAGATTAAAGAAATAGTTACTGTCCCATGCAGACCGCACGTTTTAAAAGACAAAGGAGGGAGAGAGACAGGCAAACAAAACTTTCTTCCAAAGCAAAGAAAACCAAAATAAGCACATAACAAAACACCCCAAATTTTAGAATATGTGGACAAAAGTTCCCTAGTGGGGTAAGCTGCAGCCTGCTTAAAAACAGAAAGATAATGAGTAATGAGCAGAGTGAGGCTTAAGACCAGAATATTCTGAAATGCTGATGCCTCTTGCCAGCATTCACAAACCTCAGGACTCCTACACAGACTGTGTACATAGAGCTCAAAACAAAGCCCAGTGCTGCCTGTAGACAGTCATGTATTTCCATGGGTTTTCAAACAGCTCCATTAGCCCTGATTTTGTTACAATCTGGACATAGACCCAGCTCTGAATGCAGAAAATCTACAGTAGTAGCAGTCATTCCGTATCCAAACAGGCATGTAACAGTTTGCAGGATGGGTGCCTCCAATATAACTGGGAAAAAAACCCAAATCAAAATGTAAAAAGGTCAGCCAATTCATGTGTAGAAAGTACTTGAATAGGGCAATAAAGAAATGAAAATACTCTAAATTACAGACTCTGGGAAACTTGGAGAACACAGATAGAAGCCAGTCATCAAGAAAAAGCAACTAGTTTCCTCAATTCTGACCATTTTACACACTGGCATTCTTTCAGGAAAGGTTGCTGATGCAGCTATAAAGCACATAGTTATTTCAATTAGAATTTTAAAAAGCAGGATTGTGAAAGTTTGCAAGAAACAGATGTGATGTTGGCAGGAGGAATGCCCCAGGTTTACTTATGTCTAGGCATGCCCTTTATTAAGAAAAAACCCTCCAAGAGCTGACAACACCATAGCTGTCTGCTGGAAGAGTCCCATATACATGTAACTCAGAGGATACCAACTGCTTTGGCACACTTTTAGAATTTGACAGGTTGAGATCATTGCTTTACACAGGTAACCTTAGCAATTGGCACCTGTGCTAAATGCACCCAGTGCAAAACCCTGTGTGCTTATTCAGTCCTACCAGCTCTTCAGACATTTGTATGTGTCTGGGGGCACATTCCTTGCTCTTCATGTTGAAAAAGAATCCCAAAATAACCACGCCAGCTTCAGGAGACCTTCTGTCTCTGGGGAGACTATTGTTTGGTGATATGTTTAACTGAAGATATTGCCACAGACAACATATTTCCAGGCTTTCTTCTTCTCCTGGTCTCTATAACTCATTCCTGCCCAGGCAATGTAGCATGTTGTTCCCTTAGTTGTGCCAGCACAATTGTTTGTGGGTCTGTACAATGATTCAAATGAAGAAACCAATCCTGCATAACTCAAAGAAATTGCAAAAGTTATTTTGTTTTTCATCCCATATAAAGGAGGTCCAGCACACCACCACACAAAAACTGTGTAGCACAACCCAAAGGGTAGCACATGAAAATGCAGAACTATCTTGTGACCTGGTACCTAAAACACCTTATCAAATCCTCACCTGAGTAAGTCAGCTATCTCACCTCAGCAAACTGGATCTCGAATTAAGTTTTAACTCACACACCCAGGCAAGACTGGGAAGGTTTCTCCTGTCCCAGGTCAAATAATCTGCTGTGCAAGATTAAAGTGAGCATTAAAAAAAACCAAGCTAGTGCATGTGTGTTCCAGGGTCAGTGAGTATGCCAAAGGGGTCTCAGTGAAGAGCTGAGGTTTCTGAAGTGCAAATGTGTGGGTACACAGTTTGTGGTAACTGGGAGTGGGGCTGGGCCCAGCCTCATCCCCAGTGGGCACAGCTGTGAGCAGCAGGTGAGCAGCACTGACAGCAATGAGCCATGGAGTGCCCAGGGGCACTGACCAGTCACCAAAGGGAACAGAGGGCACACAGGTGCAGTGCATCAACATGAGGGGGATAAAAGGCTGGGCTAAAGAACAAGAAGGGTGGCTGCTTTAAGCTTTCTGAAATTGTATGGTGATACTTTCTGTGTTATGGCCCTCTCAGCTCCATCACAAATGCACAAACACATGCAATACCCCTTCTCCTCACAGCACTTGTCACCTGCCAGGCACGTCCTTGCACGGAGCATGTTCTGGGCATCCTCACCAAATACACAGGTCCTCCTCCTCCCATTTCTCAGCTTTAGCAAACAACTGCAAGCTCAGAGGCTGAAACTGTGTCTAAGCACAGTGAGTGGTACTTTCAGCCACTGCACTAAAGCTTCACAGGTATCCAAATATGTTTGTCTCAAGTGCTGCTACTGGTTGGAAGATGTGGAGCATGAAATAATGATCAGGTTTGTTATGGTTTTAATAAAAACAAAGCACCATCATGAGATACACATGTGCCTGCAGTGTTAAGTCTGGAGAGTGACTCATCATGATGTCATCTCCCAAAGTGTCAGGATTAAGATTTCACTACATCCAAGCACAGAAATTCATGCATTCCTGCAGAATGCTGTTCCCTTATCTAATTCATAGCTATATGCTCCTTGTATTAAGGGAACACAATAAACAGCTATTTAACCTGCAGGAAAAAAAGCCTTGATTAAGCAACCAAAGAACAGTAAGAACATTTTTAAAGGGACTCTGATTTTAAAAAGAGTTACAACTGGTTCTAGAATAATCCTCTACTCTTTATGTATTATAAAGTGTATCTCCTCTTAGAGAAATAAAATCTAATACTATTATGAGTAATGCTGTAAAGGAAGAGGCTGTAGGCAATATTTATTTTCAGAATAAGCTTTATGTGAATAAGTCTGGGATGAAATCTTCACCACACTAAGATCAGTGACAAGATCTTTGCTGACTTCAGTAGGGTTGGGATTCTGTCTCTCATAAGAGCTTCCACATAGAGTTTTCAGTACAAAGTGTCCAAGCTAGACTACTAACACTTAAACATGGCATTTTTATGGCTCAGTTATGGTCTTCACCTGACTTATGCAGAAAATTCTTTTCTCTCCCTATCTTCATACATTTGTTCGCTTAATACTCCCTTCCATAAGAAAAAAACCAAAAACATGGGCTGTTCACATTACAGTTCTGGAACCAACTGCTTTTAAATGCAAGAGAAGCTCAAGGCATGAAGCTAAGCAGAAGTTAGCACAGTAGATGTGAAACTTAAAGTCTTTCAAGGTCACACTGAAATATTTACCTGCTTCTTCTCCTCCCAGCTAAGGTTTCCCTTGCTGAGTGTGTATGACAGTTTAGTTAGGGCTGCCTCTGGTGTCATATCACCTCCAGGAATTACTCCAGCATCAGCAAGAATCTGAATAAAAGGGAACAATGATTCTAATTAGCATAGCATTCAGAAATACCTGCACATACAGAAAAGGTGTTTGGAAGATGAGTGGCTACACAGAATGCAGTGTGCAGTCAAGCCTCCACTCTCTTGCTCCTCCTACTGCCACTGTAATTTTTGTACTTTAAATTATCAAATACCAAGCAAATACTAGAGCAACCTGAATAAAGATGACTTTTACTTTAAATTCCTTTTCCTGCAATAGCACTGAAGAATTCCACCAAATGCTTGCCACGGTCGCTTACCATGCTAAAAGGGAAAGGTTACAGGTCTGTATCAGCTATCTGCAGAGTTGTCAGATTCCCTTTATTGAAAAGCTGCAGTTACTCTGTTTTAACCCAGTGGCATTTTGAACACTGCCAAGTAGGCTGTTCTCACAGAGACATATTTACCATTCTTTTATGGGGCATTGCTTTGGATGAATTCCAGCACTACAGCGTGCTCACAGAGGGAGTGCTTTCAGATTCTTGCAGGCTGTGCTAGCAGTGTATGATTTAGAAGATACAACTGAAATATGTAATTTACACAGTTCTGACAAGAACAACTGAAAAAGATGACCTTTTAACTTATCTTTCTGGTAGTTAAAAAATAAAATGTCTGAACAAAAGCAAAAAGAAGAAGGATCTTTGCTATGATCAGCAAGCCTTGTAAGTGTACAAGACAGCAAAGACAAAGGAGATTTCAGATCTCTTGTCATTAAACTGTACCTGGGCAAATCACAGATCACCTTCTTTGCCATAATGTGATGCCTCACAGTAAAGCATCTTGAACTAGGTTGTTTGCACTGCATTTTACTTTTAAATACCTTGTATACAAGCTTCAGCTTCAAAACTTGTTGTGGCTTAACTAATATTTTCAGCAAGATACAGAGCCTTAATTAGCTCATTAACCACTTCTGGGAGACCCAGAGTAACATTTTTTTAAAGTCCCATGGGAAATCATATACAGAGAAGGTGAGAAATACCTTCTGTCCTGCAGAGCTAACCAAAGAACAGTTAGGGCTTTTTCAGTGGGTTTGTGAAAGAGGAGGAGGAAGGGATTTCCCAGCTTCCTTCCTATACCTAAAGTCCCCTCAGTTACAAGTTTCAACTGTGTAGATGGATCAGAGGCCAGACATTCAGTTAATTAAAACAAACACTTCAAGGGAAGCCAGGGACTCAGCTGACCTACCTGACTAGCTCAAATGAGTCAAAACTGGCACAGCCATATGCAGACCTTTGAAATATTTCATTTAAAGAAAAATCAAAGTAAAATTAACATTACAGCAACTTTACAGCATTCACTCATGATACTGAGCAGTTCCTCATGAAAAGGAGAGGGCGGTGAAAGAACAAGTGTGATGTAATTTTGTAGGACTTGCCTTGGTCAGTGTCCTCCTCACAAGATGCCAAGAAAACAGGGCAGCCTCTAACAACTGATGCTGAAGCAACATAGAAAAAACTCCATACAAAAAATGGAAGCCAGAAGGGAACACATTCCTACACAGCCTTAAAGTGGTTCAGTAAAACCTGAGCAGAATCATTCAATTCAGCCTATCCAGAGTCTGGATCAGAGTGCAGAAAGCCATTTTAGGTGTCTACTTGGAGAATCTTTTAACCAAAGCATAGAAAAGGGGTTTCCTTCTTCTTTTCATAAATTTTAGCAGTTCATTTCAAGCAGATGACATAAAACCTAGGATTGTTTTCAAATATAAATTTGGTGTTTTTTATTGGCTTAACTGCTTTTTCCCTTCCGAGTGAGCTGTTCTATATAATCTGCATGTTCCTACAGTATTTGCTACAAAACATGAGATCTTTGCAAAATTCACTAATTCTCAAAACTCCTCCATAAAGTTATGCAAAAGTTTTACCAACATCCAAATCATTGCCCATATCAGAAAATAGCAAGTTTGGATAGTAAGGAAGTTATAAAGAAAGTCTTACAATATCCATTTGTATTGGATACTCAAAACAGTCCTTGTGCAAATATTATCTAAAGCTGTGTCAAAACCAAAGCTAAAAGAGGCAGGTTTCAGCACCAGACCTGGGTATTTAGGTTTGCCAGGCAGTCAAAGGAGAGGCTGGCTCTGCCAGACAGGTGGTTGCTCCCAACAAAACCAGGTGTCCAAGGCAGAGGCATGAGTCACCCTCTGGTAGTGCTTCTTGGCTATTTAATATCTGGTCCTTTTCTAAAGGCCAGTTAAACCAGCTTCCCTGACACTAATATATGCAGCACATATTCTTATACAGCTTTGTGCTCTTATTAGTCCCAGTGATGTCGTGTTTTGGTACACAACTTGTGGTAGAAACACACTACAAAATTCCCTGAATATTAACAGTATGTACACAAAACCTACTTTAAGCCAACCCTTGTGTCTTAAACTAAACTGATTTCCATTCTTCAATACAGACAATTCCTTAGACACTGTTCTGCAATCTCACCCTGAATTCAGTTGTACTTCCAGTCAAATAAAGAACTGGGATTTGGAATATTGCTTGCATCTACAGGCTTTCTTCATGCTCCTACATTGTAGCTAAGCAACTGTTATCCTATCAAATACTACTCTATTTGATCATCTGACCCCTAAGCTAGCTTTTAGCTCAATAGAATCCCTCTGAGAGAGATACTACAGATCTAATGCAAAGTATCCTGGAGTGCTGCACATGACAGGAGTGAGCAATCACTAATTTGGGATTTGAGCTGCCTGTTTTGACTATTCAGACCAGGAGTAACAGGATATTGTTTATAGATATGTGTTTAAATGCTTCCAGCTTAAGATATTTCAGATGTAGTTATTTTATGAGCAACAACTTTATAGTTAATAAACCTGGTTTTATAGGCTGGGACTAGTAGTGGGAGTTTAAAGCAAGTGTCAGTGGGATGTTTGTTTTGCACAGCAGTGGGGAATGAAGTGGTTGCACCCCTCACCTGGCCTGTAGCATAGACTGTTTTCACAGCCCCACGCAGGCACTGCGTGCAGTTCAGAATCACCACTTTGCGTTCAGCCGCTTTCCTCAGCTCCTCCAGCAGATCTTCTCTCTTGTCTGGGGCATTGCCACTGCCATAAGTTTCAAGTACTATGCCCTCAATAGGAGGCTGAAGAAATGCTCTTACCTGGTTAAAAACAAGACAGGGAACAGAGAAAAAAGGTATGTTAGGTCATCCTTAAAATTTTCACATATGGCACAGCATTTTTAAAAGTGGTCTATTTCTGCTAGAGTCTTACACACTCTCATGCCCTATAGTCTTCTTACACCCTTCTGTGCTTCCTTTTGCAAAAACTGAGACTGTAAAATAAGCTTTTTAAAAATGAGACTTTTCCTCTCTGGCTTCCTTTAAAGTTTCTGGAGGGTTAGATTTTAAAATAAACTGGTGTGTACAGGTCATTAGCTGATGTGAAAAAAGATGCTATTGATCAAGTGCTATTAACAGGCTATACTGTTGCACCACTGTTTGGTGCAACAAAAAGGTACAGTTACACTTTTAAAATAAATGTTGAATTATTAACTGAGATTAGAACTCCACACCACTGCCCAGATTTTTCTGCTTTAGCAAAGAGTTAAGTTAACCAATGTCTGCCTAAGAGAGAGTGTTTCACCTTTCAGGAAAGAACATTCCAACAAAGCATGAAGTTTTTTAACCCCAAACCAAATTGATTTAACTCAGAGACACTTATATATTCTGGGCCAGTTGACACAGAAGTAGATATTGTGCCTCACTGTAAGAGAATGCTGTCAGAGGATGCCTAGCAAATTCCTCTTCCTAGAAAGATGTATTTTCAACAACCTAGATATTTCCTTGCTGATCACATATGCTAAATGCAATACACTGTAAACCCCCATGAGGATAACTATGCAGTTGGTGTTTTATTGCAAATATACCACCCCTCTGTCTTTCCATCTGTTCATATTCACCTAAAAAGAATAGTGATATAATTGGGGAGTGCTGCTTAAACTACTGGATTCAATTTAAGAAGGCAAGAGCCACAAAAGACCTGTCAATTTAATGGAACTAATATTAGACAAAAACTTAAAGACCAATTTACCTAAAATCACAGTCTGCAAAATATTTTCTAAAGGCAAAAAAATTGCACTTCTCATTTTCAGCAGCAAAATCCCACTTTTCATTTTCAGCTCTGTATGAATGCTGAGGGTCATGTGAACCATCAGCGTGAGACAAAATGAACCTTGAAAAAAAAAAAGAGTTGTAGAAATAATCACACTCCACCCACCACATTGTCTATTCTTTGACAAGATGTCTATTTTTTGACAAGATATGTATTAATAGGCCTCAATATGCACCAGGATAATATTTTCCTAGTCACTGTAGCTTGCAGCTGTCTAGAAAACCACACTTGACCTATTTATGAGTCCTGATAAGAAATTAATTTTAAGTTCCAGAGCCCAAGCAATTTATTAAAAAGATATTTGAAAACCTTTTATCATTTATGGCATGTGGAAATAGTCTTTGAATGCCCTGATATTTCAAAAAAATGCTTATCAGAAGAAGACAGATTCTTTCCCTTCCCTCCAAACCCCAACCACTGCTCCAAACAATGCAGCTTTCCTACAAGTATTTGAGCATCATTTCAGCCATTTCCAAAGTGAAGTGGGGACACTTACAGCAGCAGCTGTGATTCCTGGGAAGATCCTCAGAAGTCCAACGTTCCTGTTCATATTGGTGTGAACTCGGAATTTCTTTGTGGTGTTGGCTCTCCAAACCGTTTCCCAGTTTACTATTAAGAGAAGGGGCCTTTTTAATTTAATATTAAGACATGCTATTAAGTACACTTGTAGTACTTGATTCTTACAACTCTGTTTTTAAAATTGTTCTTAGGCAGGGAATTCATGAAAGACAACACACTTTTTAAAGAGGAAATGAAGGCTCATTTAAGACAGAAGAATTAACAGCTGGTCTGGCATAGGTGAGATATTTACTTGTCATACACTGACCTGAACTTCACTGTTATGTAGTTGGCCTGATACAAGCCTGGATTCATGTTTGAAAAACAGACCTTCATCTTCTCAGATGTAAAAGATGACAAATGCAGTTACTGTTGCTGCTAATCACCTCCAGAGTTTATTAGGTAGTTATTAATGATTAAATAAAATAGCAAGGATTCAATTAACTCTGATTATACATTTAGAGCCAGAAGCCAGCTGTTTAACTAATAGTTTGTTTGTGTTGCATTATTAGAAGCCAAGTCATGCATTATTGATTTCAAAATTTTACTACTTCAGTGTAGGAGTGCAGCATTGGTAACGCTGACGGCTCCTACAAGGCAGTGGAAGAGCTTTAACAAACAGCAGCCAACAGCTCAGAACACTGTGCCTCCATGAAGAGAGATCATGCTGTAAAGCTGCCTGCTTTCCCCTCATGAGCTAAGCTTTTGAGATTTTGGAGAAACTCCCAAGCAGCAAGACAGATAAAAGATCTGCGTGCATAATACCGACTTGCTCTCAGCCATGCAGAGAGTTACTCACACCAATTACAGTTGCAATTTCTTGCAATCAGCAGACAGCCACTTCCAAAAAAATATATAAAAACCAAGAATAAATTTAAAAGCCTCAATTGAAGCCTGCTCTATTGCCACACTACCAGAGATAGTAAAAACTACACAATCCATTAAGTCAGGACAAAAAATAGCATTCTCCTATAAGACTCTATGAACTTTTCTTCCCTGCCAGCAACTGGAGTCTCTTCTTTCTAAAAACTGCCATAAGCCATTAACCAGGTCACAAGCAGTTGGCCTGGCATTTTTGTATCCATCCAGTCACACTTCAGCACATGGATTCCTACTGCCCTGGGAGTGGGAAAACAGAAATATAAACCATTTCTGCAGCTTCTTTCTTTCTGATAAGCTGTCCAGCATGATTCTGAAACCACCTGGCTTAGTAGCTATCCAAGTAGCTCTCAAAGGCCTCCAAGAGCTTTCCAGAACCATTTAGAGACCTGCAGGAGGAACCAGAGAAGTGCAGAGCATGTGCATTTGTTCTGCATGAGGTTCATGGGCCTGGCTAACCACATTCAACATGAGCACTGTGCTTTAAGAAGCAGCACGGTTTAGCAATAAATCCATTCCTTAAGCCTTCTAAAAATAGGTTAACTCTTTAAAAGCAGCCTCCATTATAAGAAGGGGTGGCAATAAAATTGTACCACAGCTTGCTTTTCTTTTATCCTCCATAAGGTAGGAGTCCCTGCCAAAACTTCACAAATGCATTCTACTACGTTTGGCAACTGTGAGCATCCCTGATGCCTGCAACCAACTTGAAGAATGAGCTGAGGAAACCTGCCTTGGCATGGAGCACTAACACACTGCCAAAAACAGAAGACCAAGGAAAGAGATCAGAGCACAGGTTCAGAAGTCAGACCTACACCAGGCCTATACCTGTACTCTTGGAGTACGCTCTACCAAGTAACATCTCCAAGATTAATTTAATGCATGCAGACATAGTATAGTGATGTAATTCCAAATTATATTAAAAAGAAGATAAAGATTGCCCTTCCCCTGAGTTAACATTCGCTTGGTCATGAACCTCATCAGCCTACATAACGTGTTTGGTGCTGCAGACTCCACAGATGTCAGATTTCCATTTGCCAAACAAGTCTAAAAGGCAGAACAAAAGGCAAATGTGATGCAAGAGCCAAAGGCAAACAAATATACATAGAATTCATCTCAGATTTACTCAGAACTGCTGTAAGTGAGGCAGGACACCATGCAGGGGAAAAAAGAAATTAGAACACACCCTTTGCATCCTCCATCCCAAAAGGAACATTATTTATTTCACATAGGTAAGTTCAAGCATCTTCATTGTACTGAATAAACCAGCTGTCTTGCTGTGTCATGTCACACAGCAATCTTTTTTTGTTAGGTCAAAGAGCCCAAGAACATAAGAACAACTAACAGTTCTTAAGTAAGAAACTCATATACAAGCAAGTGACGTGCAAAAAACTGCATCTCTTGGTGTTCAAAACTCTTTTTTATCTTATGGATAAGAGTGATTAATTAGGGATACTCAGTTTTGGCACAGCACAGAAAGCAGTAACCTGCTCTGACTTGGGTGGCCTGTGCTTGTGAAGAGTTTAACTGATACAGCAGAGTGCATCATGTAGATGTGGATGCAAAAGTGAGGAACAAACACAAGCTAGCTACTGGTGTGGCACAGCAGAAAGAACATTTCTAAAGCAATGTACATAACATAAAGAAGTAATGGCTATTTACAGACTAAACTCATAATGACTCTGGATAGATTGCTCTATTCAGGGAGACTGCATTCAAGATATTAAGGCCTTCTGTTTACTCTTCCAAATCAAACCATCACATAAACAATAGTCTGATATTTCCAATCTCCCTCTCCATACCAAACACTGTAGCCTCTTATCCTGGGGTGACTTTATGATGGTTGTATCATACTGCCAAATTACTGCCAAAAAATTACATCCTTATCTTATGCAGCTTTATTCACACACATACACAAAATATGGTGATTGGGTTAGTGCAAAAAAAAAACCCCAACCTGACTTTAAAAAAAAGTAACTACACAGATCAGAAAGCAGAAAATCCCCCTGCTGTTAACACAGTGCAGGTTTCAACTTATAACAGGAGAGCAGCAACTCAGAGTGACACCTCCCTTAGGAGTGGTGACTGAATTCCAAGTTATGAAATCAAACAAGAAATACAGCTTTTCTTGATTGCAGAGCTGCAGACAAACAGCAGTACCCTCCTCTCATCTCTCTCTGCAGGGCTATGGGTGAGCCCTGCCATTATATAAACTGCCCCAGAGTTCCCTGTGATTCACAGCAGCAGCAGCTGAGGGGTGGGGAGCACAGGCCAACCCATGGCTGCAAACTCCTGCAGGAGGCAAACGAGGCCAGACCCCCTTTCTTGGCAGTTTGTGATAAAACAGTCAACATACATCTTGGGAATTAGTATTTCAAATGACTGGTGTCATTGCAACAACCAAGATGCCTGCTTGGAAGGGAGCAGGGATGGGGACCAGAAGCACTCCAGTGAAGAGAGCTGGGATATGCCTTCATACATAAATGACCTGGGCTTTCTATATAAATAACCAACCAAGATGCACACAGTGCCAGTGCCTAACAGCTTCTCTCTAATGAGATTTGTGGGTAGATGAGCCCAAAAGGGCCTTCTGACTGTGTGCTGCTGTGCCACACCTGCTCACACAATCCCACAGGCTCTGTCCCCTGCACAGGTTGTCTTTCATTGGATGGTCCCACACATGTGCACCACTCCAGAAGTTACATGCATGTGGGATGAAATAATTCCAGCCCCAGAAACAAAGCAAGTTTCACATGTGCTTCATTAGAACAATCAAGAATAAAGCAATCAATTACAAAATATACTGAGAATCTTTAGAGACCTCAAGAGAAATAGTCTTCCTTGTCTCTCCTGTTTTTAAAATATGGGAGAAATCAAGTAATGTATTTTATCTGTTAAGCTTGGAGATTTTAGAAATATTTCTTATTATTTCCATACTGTCCATTTCATACAGAGATTTCTAATTCTGTTGCAAAAGTATTTCCCATCAGCACTGGGTTTCTTACTCAGGAGAGGGCTAGAATTTTTTCATTTCTTACAGGATTTTTCTGTGCTAAGTTGAAAGGCCTAAGGAAGTTGATACACTTGCTTATCTAGAACTGGGTAACACAACTCCTAGGCATTGCTAACACAGCTAAGGATCTGGCTGAGAACACAGCCAGTTACAGGATTAGAAATCCACTGGGAGCCTTATCTAAAAAGGGAACAGGATAAGAAATGGATATCAGAAATGAAGCAGAGAAACAGAAGGGTAAGGGAGGGAAGAGGACTAAGCTTCTCCCTCTCCTCTCTAGCTCTGAAGTAGACTGTTGCCTTTATATGCTTTGCTGAGCCATGAACAGAATGTCTTATTCCTGTGCACCAACCCATGATCCCACTATGCTCCCCACTTCCTCAACCTCTCCCCTTCTGCTTCCCTGGAATTTTCATTCCCAGCTTTGTTAGAAGCAGGGAGCCTGAGGAAGACTTTCTGCACATGGCCTACTCCTCCTGGCATCCTCAGGCTGCTCTCTAAAATGCTGAATCAGCCAGAGTCAGCCCTGTCTACAGGAGGATTAAGATATATTATATAAAGTCATTTGGAAAAAAAAAAGTTAAAAGATGTAGATTTGTTTGGTTTGTTTTTAAAAGCCCAAGTGGTTCCTTGTCTACATGAAAGCTTCATGCAAGGACTGTACAAGCAAACTCAAGGGAGACAGAGATGTTTCAAACAATTACTTTGGACAAAATAAAGCAGCACCAGTAGATTGCCCTTACTATAAACTATGTTCTTTCAAAATGAAACAATCCTTCAATAGTGACACTGTCATCTTGGATAAATGATGCTACTCTAACTGGGTAATCAACTGAGGCAAATAAAAATAGAGCCTATCACACCATCAGTTTTTAAATCAGAAATCCCCACTGATCCCAATGAGGCATTTACTGAAAAGATAATGGGTCCCAATATGGGCCAAGGGAAGTGCTTAATAACATTCTCATTTTTCTACTCTAGACAAGGAATCACAAAACAATTCATTCAAATCCAAGAGAGGAATAGCCTGCAATTTGCAGCTTGATTTCATTATTGATCAGTCAGTAAACGGAATTTATTTATACCCTGTTTGATGCAGTTCATAAAAACCCAAGAAAGAAGATTCTCCCCAATTTACTGCAACAATCAACTGACAGCACTTCTGCTGATTTCAGAGACATCCTATTTGACACAGCACAACAGTGGCACATTCTCTGCCTGAAAGATGTCTTACAGGCAACTACAGTATTTCACAGGCTTCCTCAGCTTGTGTCTGGCTGTGGCAAACTTTGATCCTGAAACTTTGTTAATCGACTCCCAGTCATTAGGTGGAAGGGAGAAGTTAATTTTTCCAGATTGCAGAGTGCCTTTCTCTAGAAGTAGAATCCATTCAGAATGGCACATTGCACGGTACAGGGCTAGGTCTCCTACTGCCACTAATGGCACTTGGCTGAAGAATTCAAAAACTGTTCCCATTTTTTTTTCTAATAATGGAGACTGTCACCAAGTCTACTCCTTTTTAATACCTATTCTATACAAAAGCAGCTCACATGTATTTTAAAACTGTACTTTAGTATGTTTGCTGGCAGCTCCTCATTTGGCTAGATTCCAAATGTGTCTCTCTTCTCCAAAGAAAGGGTGTCATTTATCCATGAACATTTAAAAACTTTGCAAATGGTACTGAAACCCTCAGGTAGTTTTTCCCCTTTGTAGGAAACAGACACATAAAAATTACAGGGAGCCTGAGTAAGTTTGGGGGAAAAAAACCTTTTTAGGTCTGCTGCTATCAGTGTGTTTGCAGTTCAGGCAGGTCCTAAGTATCCAGTAAAACATCTTACACAATGACATGCAACAGAGAATCTGTTGAAGCTGGAAGTACTCTGCAATGACTTTTTTCCCTGATTTCAAAGACCAGCATGGTCATTAATGAGATGAAACTCTTTGTTCTTTCAGTCCAAACTCCCTTATTTTATCTTTGGAGCAAGCCTTTTTCTGACACAGGGGCAAACTTCCCTCAGGTTAATCTGGATCTTTACTCAAAGTCAGCCTAGCTCACATCTATATTCAACAGATAAATGCAGTTGAGTCACAAAGTCTCAGCCTCACTAATATTTAAACAGGTTCAGAGCAGATGAAGTGAAGTCAAGCTAGAGGACTTTCAAAGATATTTGACTTTAAAAACAACATTTCAACTACACAAGCACAGGTTCTTTTCAGCTACAGTTCTATTGCATGCAGCATAAATTACACGGCTTAAGAGATGATGTTGCTTACTTGTAATATCAACCTCAGCATTTGCAAGTGGAGGCAGGTTAGGTGAGGAAAAGGCATTGAAACTCCCAGCATCCACCTTAGTCACCCTATTTCCCCTGTACAGTTTATTATAAAAATACAGGCACACCTGCAAGACAAGTAAAGAAACAGGTCTATGAATAAGCCAGTAATTAAAAGATGCAGTAGATAAATACTGTAGTCCGTCCTTTATAAAGTGTTTTCTAAATCTTTAAAGCAACTCAGAGGTTAGTAGATGTTTACAAGTCTAACCCTTTCAAAAAGTGTTGGCACTTCTGTCACACATTGGTTTAAGAATTTAAGAATAAAATTAGGTTCAAGTTAAGAGCTAACTAGTTTCATAATGTTCTCATGAGGCTTACTCTAGGAGACAGCAAATTTGCCTGAGTTCACTTCAGAGATGGAGGAAAGAAATAGTGTGAGCTTTTTAATAAATTCAGTTATGTACAAATTCAGTGTCCAAAACATAACAAAGGGCCTGGTGAAAATGAGGATAACTTCCAAAAGTTACCACACATTATGTTCCTTCTCAAGTCTATTAAAGTTTGTCAATTTGAAGGAAAAGAGATACCTCAAAGCTGTTATCAGTTATGAAGATCTTGGCCAGTCAGCTGTTGCTGTTGTCTTCAAGAACTGGCTTTGGAAGCATGGCAGATGTAAAATAAGGTGTAACCTGCCCCATTTTCTCTCTGAGTTTTGAGCTGCACAGCACAAACAGCATGGTATTGAGACTATGGACGTACCTCCAGGTGTATCACTCTCAACACTTCAATCTTCAGGAACAGAGCTAGAAGACACTCCTACCAGTTCTATAGTGACTGGAGAAGTTCAAAGTAACATTCAGTTAAAAAACATACTTAAAGGTACATTTCAGACTTGAGAGTCTTTCTGGATTGTGTATGGGCAAATGGAATATGACCAATGTGAGAACAGCACGTGCTTTGCCATGCAAGCACTGTTACCTCAGTTGGAATCCATTCATCTTCCTGATTAAGTGCAATTCCTGACTGCCTACCAGATATTTAATTTAGTGAGTGTTTGTGCCCTAGAGGGAGAAATGCAGCTTCTGAGATGGTCTTCCCAGCAAACAGACCTCAGGAATCACGAACTGCCCAGCCATCAGCAGTGCCCCCAGAAGGTTGTCTCGGCCGTCATTCTGCAGCTCGTAAATGGGCACCTGAAGAGCAGAGACTGGAATTACACCCTGGCCCTTATGTAAAGCCTACACAGCAGAAAAAATGAGTCCAACTTATGCAATACAAATACATGAATAATTTATGTAACAATGATTTATGACAAAAAAAGTTTTCTTTCTTCGCCCAAACTATTTTAGACTGCAGCAGATGGCGAGACTTCTCTCTCTGCTTAACAGAATTTTGCCATTTTAGTGCTTAAAAAGTAATACAGAGATTTTTCTAATGTGATTAAGAATATTAACACTGGTTCAAAAAAAATATAAAAACTAGCAAGTAGGCATAGTTTAAAGTGACTGAGCATAGGAGAAGTGATGATAGAGAGAACATACAGAACTGTCACTATGGGCTTCACAACAGCTCTCTTGCACCATCTTTCCTCATAGCATAGCAAAACTGAGCCAGCAGGTTATTACTGACAGAAAAGGGCAAGATTAAAAACAGAAATTTAGTCTGCTGAGTGATGATCTCCTTGCCTTTTCAGACTGCCTCTTTATTAAAAGAGAGTGCTTCTTTCAGTAATTATTAAAAAAGAAAATCACATGCTCCCTTGCTGGATCATATGTCAGATAGATCTCCAAGCAATAAAACCAAAAAGAAAGCAAAACCTTGACTGATGTATCAGACTAGGCTGCTCCACGTCAAGACAGCAAGTGGGAGCCTACTCCTTCCTAGACTTTTGTATTTTGACTTCAAATAGACCACATGTGAAAGGGAAGTTATGAGATTGGGGAGGGGAATTTTACAATGTGATGTTTCATCTTTCCTTTGTGATTAGAGCAGTATTTTACACTCAAGCAAGCTATTCTAGTAAGACAACCCCTCCCTCTCAGACAATATGCAAAGGGCTGATCTCCAGCTAAGAGAATGAAAATTAATAAATGTAGTCTTTAGAGAAAAGGAAACAGACCATATTAGATGCCTTGTGGAACAGAAATGATCAAAAATGCATCTAATGATTTAAGGTTTTTTTTTTAAATTATAAAGACTGCAACAATGAGTAATGTAAGTTGAGATAACAACTGATGAAGTAAAAAATACTGAGCTTCAGGGCTTTTAAAGAAAAGAAGACAGCTGACAACCAGTGGCCACCTGAGGCTGGAAAAATGCTTCTCATATAAACCGATTAATACACAATGGCCAATGACAGGCTCTTATGTTTTTCTCTGAAGCATCTGGCCCCAGCCATAATGAACTCCTGCTCTGATTTGGTACAGAGTTGTGAAGTCATTAATGATAAAATTATGGGGCAGATCCTCAGCTGGTGAGCAATCATTTCTCACTCATTTCTGTCAGCACTGTGACCATTCTCCCTGGCCAGGGCCTGGCCTGAACTGCTAAGCTGTACAGTGATAATCAGGATACAGCGAAGTTCTGCATATAAAAACCAAAAATGAGGATTCCTGCTTCAAGTTCAAATTAATTCCATTACCTGAGATCCTGTCAGAACAATAGTTTTGCCCAGGTTCTCACACATGAAGGACAGGGCTGAAGCTGTGTACGCCATGGTATCAGTACCGTGCAGGATCACAAAACCATCGTACTTCTCATAGTGCTCCTGCAGGTGGAGAGACAATTTTCACACTGTTAAAGAAATGCCCTGGCACCAGCAGCTGAGGTACACAGGGCATGACTTTCATTGATTCAGGCAACAGCACAATGCCTTATAGGGTACAGCACACACAACTCCTCCTAAACTTACCCTGTTTCCAGTTTAAATACAATTAAGGGTTAACCGGACACTGAGCACTAGAGCCAGTAATTCTGATTATGGAACAGTCAAAGAGATTCTTCTGTGTATACATATTAATGCAGCCTTTTTAAACCAGAAGACTCCTAATTAAGAAAAGCTTAGCAATGGCTTTAAACAGGAATGTTAACATATGCAAATGAGGCGTATAGTCTGATGTCTTGTTGCCGCTTTTACTTTAGGGATTACACCATTTACAGGAACAGATTAGGCAAACCAGGGCTCTCATCATGTAGGGGAAAAACCAATCCGTTTAATCCATGGCAGACAGGCAAACTACCAGTGTCAGAGTGCCCTCTTCTGATGGAAAACCATCCTTTCCACAGCACAACCTGGGGGAGAGGCTTCTTGTTCATTAATGGACCTTCATCTGCTGGTTTTTGAGAATGCCCTTACACTATCAGGCACATGCACTATCAAAATCAATTTTATAAAAATTTTAATCCACACACAATTTCACAAATGCAAAGCCATGAATCACACTGCTCATCCTGTGACAATAGTTATCTGCTGGCTTTTGGAAGAAAAAAGAATTGGTTCAGCTACTCTAAAAATGATGGACATAGCAAACACTGCAGGGAAAGACACTGATGTCTCTGATGTAACTTGGTAACATGGAAAGGATTACACAGAACTCTAAGCAGATATATGATGTGCATGGGGAGGAAAAAAGAAGTTTAAACAAGATTTCTTTTTAATTGCACCCCTCATGTTACACTAGGCACACACACTTGGCACCTCCTGATAATAAGGTCATCTCAAACTAATTTGTAGGTTCCTACTTGTCCTTTTGCTATTTCTTCACTGGTACTCATGTCTGTCTACTTGTTGCTACCTAGTGGAAATTTCAGGGGGTTTCTGTTTATCTCTAACAACTGAGCCAACACAACTGCCAGTGTGGCAAGGTCTTTTTGCAGGCCAAACTACAATGTGATGCAAAAACCATGCTGCAGCAACAAGGTAAGAAGGCTTCAAGAATGGCCAAGAAATAGCCACTTGTCCTCTCTAAATCAGTACACTCACAAGTACTTTCAATCTTAGGAACCTTATCAGATGCAAAAGAACATAGTTTAGTTTGAGGTTCATAATAGAAAAGATCAGGTTGTCAATTAAGGAGATATCCCACAGAAACATCTTGGAATGTTTTAGTCTGGAAAATCATCATCATGTTAGAGCTGTGGCAGGCAAGTGTCCAAGATGAACACAAAGTGGCAGCATCTGTACACAACCTGGAGGGTTGAAAAGGGTTCCTTGTTTTTGCCTTCTCAGCAATTTTCATTTGGATTACACAAACTGGGCATACAGAGAACCTGTGTACAAGTAAAAAAACCCCACTTTTGTGATAAAAACTAATATGCCAGTAAGGGAAAAAGGTAAATTCTCTCCTGATCAGCATGGAATTGCTGCCTTCTCTTGGCCCTGGGCTTTTCCCAGCTGCATCCCTGCATCCCTAGAGACTTTCCATGTACACACCAGCTCCAACTCTTGTTTTCCTGGGCAAGATGCATTTGATAGGACAAGCAACTCCCAAGTTTGGTGGTTTCAGGATGCTGAACCTTCAGCAGCATTTCCTGCATTATTGAACTGTTCAATGCATTGCTACAGCACAGTGGAAGAAGGGAATTTACACTATAAAGCTCACTATCCCAGAGTGGGAGAGCAGTATCTTCCGAGCCCCACAGTTATTTATTTCTGTCAGCTATGTATGAATTCCTGGTGTGAAGCATTTGAAGTGTTTTGCAGTTTTGCTTTTTTTAAAAGCACACAGCTAAGTTCAGAGAAGGGACAGGAGCACAGAAATGCTGATTTTTTTTTTAATTTTTTTTAATTCTAGAGAAGGATGAAATGAGTTTATCTATTTATGCAGAAATATCTAGGGCTTTACACATTTCCTCTGTGGGAAACCCAACCATGGCAGCAATTTTTTCTTCTGGTTGTAAAGCTAAAGCTAGTCCAGTCCATGTGTGCCCAGAGTAAGAAATGCATAAAGACATCAAATTATTTTCTATGTCAATAGCCAACTATTAAGCTATTTGAACTTAATTGAACTTAGTTACACACTCAAATGATGTGTAACTAAGCAACCTCCAGCTAAGTTACCCACACCTAAGGATTTTATTCAACATTTTTGGACAGTAAATTTCAGTCAATGTTTTAGGACCTACATATTACATACCTTACTCAATCACAGCTGCAAATTTATTTTATTATATGGAATTATGGAATGGCTCATTCTTGGAAGAACCATGCAACTTTAATGAATTTACAACATTTTCAAATGAAATAAAAATTCTGCAAACTTTGCAAGCACACTACTTCTTACTTTGCAAGTCACTTTACACTTAAAGAAACAAATACATATTTATAGGGCTACTGAATTGTTTTATCTTCCTAAGTATACTAGATACACTGCTGGTTTTGTCTAAGTGAAAAATTAATTCTTATCCCACATCACTGTACCTCAAGTTTTTTTGCAATTTTGGCCCAGTCATCTGGTGTCATGTTGGAAGAATCAAGCAGTGGCGAGAGCTCAAGGATTGTGTAAAAAATTCTCTTGTTTTGCTTGGAGAGACTATGAAGAAAGAGAAGAAGAAAGAGAATTGGAAAAAAAAAACAACTTAGCATTAATATCAACTCATCACTTTTGATTTTTTCTTTAAATCAGTAGTTTTTACACTTCTCCTCCCCCAAATCTAGGTGAAAAATGTCTTAAATCTGGAAATTAAATTCCAAGTTTAGAAGCTCATGGCTTGATGTAGTTTAAAGCATAAATACTTAAATTTAATGTAATAATAAATATAACTTGGGAGGCAGACATGGGTGGTTTCTGGGCTGTGAGTGCACATTGCTGGGCATGTCCAGCCTCTCATGCACCAGCACCCGAGTCCCTCTGGGCAGGGCTGCTCTCCATCTGTTCACCCCAGCCTGGATGGACACCAGGGCTGCCCTGACCCAGGTGCAGCACCAGCACTTGGTCTGGTTAAACCTCATGGGATTCACATGGGCCCAGTTCCTGAGCTTGCCCAGGTCCCTCTGGATGGAATCCCTCTCCTCAGGTGTGTCAACAGCTCCACTCAGCTTGGTGTCATCTACAAGTTTGCTGAGGCTGCCCTTGATCCCTCCATCCCTGTCATTAATGGAGATATTAAATAACACTGGTCCCAGTACAGACCCCTGAGAAATACCACTTGTCTCTGATGTCCATCATGACTGAGCCATTGAGCACCACCTTCTGCCTGTAACCATCCAATCAATTCCTCATCCACTGAACAGTCCACCCATCAAACCCATTTCTCTACATTTTAGAGAGAAGGATGTTGTTGGGGACAACATCAAAAGTTTCACAGGAAGTCCCAGTAAGCTGTGCTAGCTGAAATCACCTTCCTGTCCTCCATGTTCCTTAGCAGAGCTTCTAGAAAGATCTGTTTTGTGACTTTCCCTTCCCCTCCCAGAGGGGAGGCTGACAGATCAGTGGGTCCCATGATCTCCTTTTCTATCCTTTTTGAAGTTGGGTGTAGTATTTCCCTTTTTCAAGTCACCTGAGACTTCTAATAAAATCTGTAGACTCATTCCCCCTATGAAGCCTCTAAGCCTGCTGCATACAGCAGAGAGAGCATTTAAACAATGTGTTTAAACTGACATCCTGTACCTATGAAGTCAGACTACACATGGAAAACTGCCTTGCTGGACACATGCTAAGAGTAGCTGTGGAAGTCAGCTGAAAATCTGTGACACAAAAGCTCTCCTGAGAATGTGCTGTTTGAATAAAACATGACATCCTGATAGCAGAAACCAGCCCTGGCTTCAGCTTCTGATGCCTCTCTCTAAAAAGAGATCATGTCATTCCTCTTCCATTGACGTTACACACCGATATACAAAGTTCACAAAAATTTCTCCCCTCAGGAAGTCACAATATTTCCCAACCACCTAGTTAAAATATCACTTGGCTAGCACAAAAGACAAGATGGCAAACTGCCACAACTAACCTCCAGAAAGAGCACTCAGCAGTGCCAGAAAAACAAGACAAGTTTAGTTTTTAAACCTCAGGTTTTTTTATGTGAATGATTGTTTTAAGCTTTTCTGGTTTTCAGGGAAAGATGTGCCAAGAGAAGTATATTCAGGACTCATACAGATATGTTAGTCTAGTTTTGTTATGTTTCTAATCCCTTAAGTATTTCAAAGTTATTCAAGCACCATGTCATAATAGAGCTCAATTTTTCTTAGGGTAAGCATCATATTTAACACAATATTTAACACCTGGGTGCAGTAGTATTTATGTGAATATACAACTGTATATTCACATAAATACTACTGCACCCAGGTGTTCATTAGTTTCTTCCTTTACTTCTTTTCCTGCTATCTGTCTTTTAAGGGGTTACTTTTAAAAGTTTTATAGAGACCTCAAAACAAAGTAGAAAAAAAATCATAAACCTTTAATTTTCTTTGAATATCCTGGTTTTCTCCATAAAGATTAATGAGTATCCATTTTTACTCATACAGAAAATGAGCTATGGCCCCATTTATTTTTGAACAACTGTGTAAAATAATCCTTTGTGCAAAGTTAGCATGTTTGCAGGAGTGCAGTAATTCATCACAGCTAGGGAATATTTCATATTATCACACTGCCCTCTAAATAAAACCTATAAGCTTATTAACCATTGCCCAACAGTTAAGAAGCAGTGCAGATTAATTATAAGCCCATTGCTTATTATCATAATGTTGCATAAATTTGGGAAAAACAATCAGCTTTTAGGGCTTTTAAAAACAGAAGGCCTGCAGAACTAAAGCATGAGGCCTATTCACAGATGCATTAATTACAGGCTACTTTTTCAGACATATGCTGAAGATGATTCACATGGAGCTGTATATAGTTTTCATAGTTTATGTAGAATACTTGCATGTTTGCACAGCAGCAAATTAATATTAAAAAAAAAAAATCCAGGAATAGACTGCCCAGAATGGTTACTTGTTGCCTAATGTAAGTTACTTCTCAAGCAGTTCTAAAGAACTTCATTGCAAATACGTCCAAACATATTTTCCAGGAATAGACTGCCCAGAATGGTTACTAGTTCCCTAATTTATTTCTCAAGCAGTTCTAAGGAATTTCATTGCAAATATATCCAAACACGTATTTTCCATCACACCAAACATGGCGGACTTTTTTCTTTCAAACTAATACAAGCATTTTTGCTAATCTCATTACAGATGCTTCATGCCAAATGCCTAGAGATGTAATTACCTGCAAGAGAAGCAGACTGCTGCTGCCCCCTCAGTACTTACGGGAGCACCAGGGTGTTCTCGGGCAGCCCGTGGCCGTTTTTGAGCTTCGTTTCCCGCGCGTACGCCTCGTCGTGCAGCATCGGCATCGTTTTCAAACTGCTGACTAATTTATTGGCCTCAGGAGCAAGCCCTTCAAAACAGGGAATGAAGGAAGTGAATAAAGGAGCAGGGATGGAAGGAAGTGAGTGGCACACTAAGGAGGGAAGAAGACAAGTTACACAGCAGTTTGCCCATCTTTCCAAATTAAACGGTCTATTGCCAGTTTAAAACTGTGAGAAATGAACATAACTAATAAATATTCATGCAGCTATTCTTTTCTTAACTTGAAATAGATAAATCCTTTATTTAAGAGAAATAGTGTTTCAAATCTCCTCTACATCAAACATTTGTGCTTTTGCCTATTTTTCATTGTTGCTTGTCTGCAAATACTTATCAGAAGCAGGGACAGGAAGCCAATTTGCAACTGTAGCAGAAAGCTACCATTCTCCCACATCTGTCGTAGCTATTACTACTGTTACTACTTAGTAATAGTAGTAAAAGACTTAAAAAGCACCCAGTTGTGATATACACTAGGTACTTTCCACTAGCAGGTTTAGGACTGAACATCTGAACTGGCAAAAGGTAAAAAAGTGCCTAAACCTCTGAACAGAAAACACTGAAAGCAGGGATGTATCTCAAACTCTGCTCTCCCTCTCCCTGCCTGTGATGGGGTCTGTCTGCGGCAGGGATCCTAGAACAGGTTTAAACTAGCCTAAGAACATGCTTAGTGTTTGGTGGACCTGCAGGTGTCCTGGTTGCAAGCAGGTATTTCAAAGGGAATCTGCAAGTTGTTGTTAGCTAGTAAGGCACTAATGTTGTGATGTTACAGTCCTCAGCATCACAGAGCTGAGTTCACCTGTGAACCCAACCTGCAACTCCTCTCCCAATACCCTGTTTCAGCAATGACAGTGACAGTCCTGGCATCCAGAATCAGAAGCCACCCTGGTTTTCTGAAGTCTGACTTCCTGAGAGTTTTCTTACAAGGAACATCCAACAGAGGTACTTCCTTCTGGACTTCAAGATTTTACCCTCAAGTTCAGTTTAATCTCAGTGTTTCATATCACCTGTTTATATGGCAAGCAAAACATTAACCCTCATTATTCTACTTCTGTTAGTTCTAGTTATTTTAAATTTGAGGCCAGGGAATTCTCTCCTATTTCCTAGTTCTGATTATTTAAACATCATTCTCATCCAAGTTAGCACCTCTAATTATTTTTGGTTCACCTTCAAACAGCATGGTTTATTTCAAATACTCAAAAGCCAGAAAATACTTTCAATAGTATTTCTAGCTTTTATCCATCTACTTTCCAAGCTGATGGAAAAACCCTTAAGAACTCCCTGATCTCCCTCCTGGCTTGCCTTAAATTAAGAAGGGGGCCTCTTCATAGCCAGCTTCCTCACAGGACAGCAACAGCATTTGAGTGATTTCTTTGGATTGCTGCCAGAATACTTTGTTTTACAAAATATACTTAAAACACTTTCAAGCCTTGGATGTTTCATTCATTCAGCTCTAATCCCTGCTTTTCCTATTAAGGATGTTCCTAGCTTAGTCACAAATGGCCACTTCTGCAGTGCCTGGGCATTGAGTCATTTTGGCTCGGAAATGCAGCCCAGTTTCAAGTGTTTCCTGGGTGTTTTCTGATTATTCTTCTCTTTGTCCAGTGTTCATCTTGCTCTGAATATTGACAGTGGATTAGACTGTTTATTTTTTGTATTTGCCACAGGAACTGGAGAGCTGATGTAAGCTAATGTTCTTTAATCCCTTCTCTATAAACAGCAGCCCCTCATCTCTTAATCACAAATCTGTCAGGATTTTTCTGTAATTGCTTGCACTGAATGTAAACTTTTTTTAAGGCATTCTGCAGATGTACCCAAGATGACCCACTTACAACCCAGACAGCCCCTCACATGCATCCACATCTAGCAGTGATTTCTGCTTTATTACAGCTTCAAGAAGCAAACACGGGGGAACTCAAGCGCAATGGTTTTAAGAACACTTCACTACACATGGTAAACAGCTTTTGTGAGCCAAGCTTGTTGACAAAGTATTTGAAGCAACTTCACCCCTGCAGAGAAAAGGCAGGCTGGGTGACTTGTCCAAATAGCTGTCACCACCTTCTGTCCTGTCCTTTGCCAGCTGGCCAGCCCTGGCATCACAGAGCAGGTGGACAAAGAGAATGCCAAACAGGCACCTGTGGCCAAGGAGCATAATCAGGGTTTTGTCTCACCTACAGTCCAGGACTCTGCTTTTCCCTCTGGTGCTATAGACAGCACAGTTATTGCTACCTGCCAAACAAGATATCCTGCAACCTGTGCTGCTGCAGAGAACAGGGAGCAAAAATATTAAAAATATTAATTGCAGCAGTTATGTTACTTGGAGCTTTCACAAGTGAGGTACAAAGATTTCAAACAGAAAAAGGTTTGGACTACAGCAGCCAGTCCTTTGGCAATCTAGAATGTCTAAAAAAGACACATCAATAACTAAGCTACCTAAGTAGACTCTTCCAAGATAGGTAATCTTTCTAAGGGTGTTTATCTTAGTTCTACTTGGATTTTTTGGGGGTTTTTTTCCTCATTACAGGTAAAAGCTAAGAAAGAGACCTAGGCCACGTGCCCAAGGAAAAGATCTTCCTGAAGGCCCCAGCATAAACTTGATGGAAAGATCACTATCACAGTAACCTCACTCTGGAGTGCAGTAAGGTTCTCTTTCCGAAATGAGCTACTGATAAGCCAAAAGAAACTAATGTAGGAGGAAATAAGTAGGAGTAAGAAGCTTTAAAAATGCACTGAAGTGGCTTGAGAGCAAAAACATGAATACTGAGAGAGTCTGCACCTGAGTCTGGTTGTCATCCAAGTCACATAAACTGAAACAGACTATTCATCCTCTGAAAATGACTCCTGCACAGGTAACCTAGGTGTGCAGAAATTCCAACAGGAATTTCCAAGATGTGCTGGAGTTGAACTACTTCTCTTCACCATGCTTGAAGTAAAACACTTGTAGTTCTAGGAAGGGTTGTAAACAGGCACTTTCCATCCACTGATAAATAAAAGAAATGAGCATCTATTGTATCTTCCCTTGAAGCATGCTGCCTTTCCCATGCCCTTTCAGCAGCTTCTCTCTGAACACTAAAGACTGCCAAATATTCTGAAAGAGGTACTCTGGCTGCTCTGCAGCTAGATGTGGGTATGAAAAGCAGGTCAGAACCCCCCCACAGGATGCAGCAAGTCAGCATCATTGGATCACAACTGTTAGATTGTTTGCACATGCTGTAATGATTGACACTTGTTAAGCAAAAGGGAAAAAAAACAAGATGAGAAGAGGTTATAAAGTTCATTCATAAAAGAACGAGACACGTGATTATAATTTATTCACTTAAAAGAGGAATTTAGAAAGCTGAGGCAATAAAAGTAGGAAATTGTTTCAGTATAAACAATGCAAACTGAGAAAGGCAAGTCAGCACATGGCTTTGAAATATGGACTTTTTTTTACAACTCTGACAGATTAAAAACAAAGATGACAGCCATAAAAAACAAAGAACACCTTATAGCATCTTTACTACAATAATAAGGATCAGCCAATCACCCTCTCCTGAGAAGAAAGGACATGTATTTGAAAAAAAATCAAGTCTAGGAAGCTCCAAGGTGAAGCCCCAAGTGCTTTAATCCTACAACAAGAAGCAGAGACAGTATTTCAGGCAGGGGCAAAAAACTCTGTAGTAGGGATCACAAGTACCTGTGCTTTTGAATCTAGACAGACACAAGCTGTGGAAACCCTGGGATGCTCCACTGCCTTCCAAGTAAAGAAGGAAAGAAATTAAACAAGTATTCACCAAAATTGGACTGTTTCCCTCTCACTCCCACTCCTTATGTTACCTTGTTTCCCTTTAATCCGACCCTGGCAAGCACATAGCCCTACAGCAAGTCAGACCTGACTGAAATCCATTTTTTCCTCAGACACATCAATGGGTTGATGTTTCTTTATCCCTTGGGATCTGCCCCTACGGAGTGATGATCGAGGGATGCTCAGGTGCCACTCCAACCAGCTGCTGGACTGGGGGCCTGTGCAGGTGTCAGCTGAGTTTGGGCACCTATCTGCTGACATTTAGGGGCACCTAAAAACACACAGCATACCTGTAGGTACCTAAGAACCCTCCAGGTAAAATGCAGGTGTTATACTGACACCTCTCAGTGTTCAGTTTTGGATGTAAACATTTTCCAGCTGCAGGGAGAGAGTTTGGCATATCTAGTTAGGCATATCAAATTTGGCATATCTATCAAGTCTCCTCCTCCCTCAGTGAGGTAAGCCAAGGCAGAACTCTTCAGTGATTTCATGAAAGAAGCCAAGAGCTGGTGGGAGAGCAGCAGAAACCCGTCCCAAGACTGGCACTGCATCCGATCTCGCCCATCCTGACACCTGGCAGCTGCCACACTCGCATCCGCTGCGCCTGCCAGGGCACCACTGGAAAATCCTCGTCACGGCCGCCAGCTCCAGCGGCCCACGCTCTTCCCAGCAGGAATGCCAGGCACACGCTCTCTGGGCGGCCGGTGACAGTGGCTCATTTAGGGCTAAAAACAGCCTGCATGACTAGCGCGACGAAGTCGGTTTCATTTTCAGTGCGCAAGGTAGGGCAGAAAGGACTCACGCTGCAGGAAACACGTTGTCCTCTGCCAAAAGCCGCTGCCGCTCGCTGTGACGCTCACAAGGATGCCCATCAGCTGAGCGACCGGGTGATCCCGCTGATGGGAGCCGGGGATTACAGGGAGACGCTCACAGCAGCGATGCTGCACCGCAAACCGCGCCGGGTCCCCGCGGTCGCGCCGTGCCGGGCCAGCCCCGTTCCTCAGGGCCAGCCCCGCTCCCCCCAGCCAGCCCTGGCCGCATCCCCACGGCCACCCTGACACCCCCGCCGCCGGCCCTCACCCTTGACGTCCTGCACCATGCCGATGGTGCCGCCCGTGTTGATGACCAGCACCCACGCCTCGGCCTTGGGGGTGGGGTCCGGGGAGCAGCCGCGGAGCTCCTGGGGTCGGGGCCCAGCCAGGGCTCTGCGCAGGGAGCGCGGCTGTCCCGCTGCCCCCTCCATCCCGCGTCGCAGGATCCGCTACCTCCCGGCCGCCCGGACAACGGGGAGTTTTAAAGGGCCGGAGGGCAGGGGCGGGGCCGCCCCTTCCCGCTGCCCCGGGGGCGGGCAGAGCCGCCGTGCCGGCCCGCCCGAGCGCGGGGAGCGCCCGTGAGGGGCCGCGGCCGTGAGGGGCAGCCCCGGCACCGCCCCCTGCACTTTGCGCTGCGGGCAGCGCCGGCCCGGGCGGACGGCAAAGCCCTTCATGCTTGAAGGAGAAGCCAAGAGCAGCCGCGCGGTCTGGGCCCAGGGAGGAGAGAGGGGACACAGGGCTCAGGGTCAGCTCGGCGAGAGCACCTGCGTCGTCCTCTTTTTCCTCATTTCTTCTTTTTCCTTCATGGGGAAGAAGGTGGGAACTGCTCCTGCTAACCTGGGCTTAGACGCGACTCCTGCCCACCCAGCGTCTCCCACACCAGGCAGCGAGGCAGCGGCAGCGCCCCTGCCCCTCCATCCCAGCGTTCTAATCTGCACCCTCAGCTTCCATCCAGATGGATTCCTTTGAGGATCGGGGAGGAAATCAGCTGTGAGGAGGCTGAAGTTATTTTCAAGGAAATCCGATAAACCTGTTGTCATAAGATTTGTTATAACTGTTATAAGATTTGTTATTACTGTATTTATAACTGTAAAGCATAATCAGCAAAGCAACTGGTTAAAACGCAATGAGCCAGTTCCTGGGGGCAGTAGCTGCTGGGAAGCTGCATGCGCTGAGAAGTCGCTGCTGCACAAGCACCTGAGGCTGAACGTGTCACTGAAGTGCCTGAGTTACCCAGTACGTCAAAGGAAGAATGTACTTCCTGTAGGATCGTGGTACAGTTGTTTTGGCCCCTGGTCACATGAACTTTCTTTGTACCCTGCACTGCACCTTCTAAATGAAATGAAGGTAAAAATAGGGATTGTGGGATAGTCCAAGCAACTTCTTCTACTTCCAATTCCTGTGACTCCAACAGGAATAAATTTTATGTGCTCCCCTCATGTTGTCAATCTCTCTCTTGGTCTGAGCGGCCTAAAACATGGCACAGAATTCCAGATGTGGTCCCACAAGTGCAGAGTACAGGGCAGTAATCATTCCCCTGTTGTCTGCTGGCTCTAATTGTCCTGCCAGTGCAGCCCAGCCTCCACTTTCATCGCTGCAAGGACCCTTTGCTGCCTCATATATGACTTGTCCATAGGACCCCCAAACCCTTTTTGCACAGCTGCTACTTACATTTTTTATCTATACTGTAGGCTATTGAACAAAACCCAGCAGTGTCTGAAGGCAGAAACAAACAGTGTAGTAACTCCAGCTGCTGGAGTACACTGTGTGTATTGACACATCCACAACGAAGTTTTCTAATTAAACAAACAAACATTGTGGATCTGCTCCAGGGAAACACTTTTTTCAAAAGAATGAGAAATTACATCTAATTCCTGTTGTGTATCAAAGAAACACATTCCACTTCCTTCATACATTTCTGGCACAGATCTCAAAGCATCTTCATTCATTGTACTCTTTTCCCTGTGTTACTCAGAGTAAAAAAAGTAATCAAGATCACACGAAAAGAATGTGATGAAGAGTTTTAAACTCTACAGAAAGGTCATTTTAGGTTCTGCGGGACTCCCTCCAGAAAGAACAAAACTGAAGTTCCATTTGAGTAGGATTACTAGAGTTGTTCAGAAATTTAACACTTTTTTTCACAGAATAATCAGCTTTTGAAAACATTTCTGGCAAAAAAAAAAAAAAGTTATTTTCCTTTTGTTTTTTAACATTGCACAGTGTTGATTTATTTTTTTCAATAAAAATATTTTTTCATTCAAAAAAATCAAAACTGTATGCTATTAACTGCATACACCTGATAATCACTTTGTATGTTAGAATACAGAATTCTGAATGGCATCCATGGATTAGAGAAGTGATCCTAAGTAAATTACACAATGATGTCCAGAAATTACTCATTGCACAAACAGAAGGGTGAAGGACAAAAAACAAGTGGCACCACTTCCAGAGAAACCAGTAAGAGAATTCATGAGAATAACAACTGAGTAAGAGATGTTGAAAATAGAAAAAGAAACCCAGTGGAGATGCTCAGATAGCTGCAACACATGTACTTCCCTGGAATGATAAAACAGGCAGCAGATTGCATGAGGGCAGAGAACTCAAGCTTAAAATTAATTTCCAGGGAAGAACTGATTGCAACATTTCTAACAGCTGAACAACAGACCCAGGCAGTGCATCTCACAAAATAAGCTTGGAAGGAACAAAAAGTACCTCTGAAAACATAACTGGCAAAGCTACATCCAAAAAGTGATTTCCTTGCAAGGAGAGAAAAATGTTGGCCTTAGATGACTTAATGCACAAGAGTTCTGGGCTTGCAGCAATTTTAAAGCAGGGAGTTTTGGAAGCAGAGGAGCAAAGTGGCATTTAACAGAGGAAGGTGGTATTTAACCTTCTGTACCTCACAGCATCCCATACATGAGAAGGAACATTGATGGCATTGGTGGAAAGAGTTTCTGCCCTCACAGCCTGGTAAGGTCTCCAAGAGCTGGATAGCAGCCCTGCAGCCTGTCAGCATGACCTTTCTGATGTATTAACTGGTGCTCATGAAGGCAATGGACTCTCCATATCTGCTGAATGAGCTCAGGCCTCCCTTAGAGAATTCAGTGTCAATTTCTAGACCAGGTGAAACAGCAGCAAGAAAGGAAAGGAGCAAGCCAGAAGAAAACCTGTTCCCTCTTCCCCTGCCTGCTGCAGGCAGAATAATTCTGCTTGAAGCAAGATAAGTCATGCACATACATCAAGATGGGAGGGAATATCATCTACCTGGGAGGGCATCTGGGAGCTGGAATGGTTTTTAGTTGTGCTGTGGGTAGATGGTGGCAGAAGATAATGTTTGAATACAGAGCAGTGTTGGAGACCAAGATGATAATGAAAACAAAGCAAGCTGCAAGAAAGTATCACTTTGTTCCTGAGCTGGTGTTTTAAAGAAGGGGGAAGGAAGGTCAGGATTGGGCAGGGACTGACCATGTAGCAGAGCTTCAAGGCTCTGCTTAGGGCCTTCATCATTAAGGGCCACCCATAAAGCATCCTGGATGAGGCTGGAAGAGGAGCTGGACAACAGAAATGAAATTGCTGGGGGTCTCAGGAGAGGGAGACTCTTCCAAAGCAGGTGATGCTTGGAGTGCCCAGACTCCTTTGGAGCTTCAGCCTCTGTCTTTCCTTCTTTTCAAAGTGTCAGCGACCTACACCCAGCATCTGTGAGCTGTGCCAGCTGAAACCCCCTGGGCACAGAGGTTGCCAAAAGATGAGGGGAATGTCACCCCCAGTTCCTCAACTGATTCTTGGCAGTGCTGCAGAGCACTTGCTCTGTTCTTCCAGGAGAATCACATTGTCAGGATGAACAGCAAAAGGGAAAAGGATGTAACACATTTGGGAATTTCTCTATTCCTTCCCCAAAGAGGGTCTGTGTAGGGATTAGGGTGCTTTGAATGAACCCAGCTGAGTCCTGCTGAGCCTGTGTCCCCTTGCACTGTGGCAGCTGTGCTCTCTGCAGGGAGGGCAAGTGGGGAAATGTCAGTGTGAAGTGATCCATTTCCAGAGAAAACATGACTGTCCTTCTTTAGCTGGGTGGAGTTTTGGGAGGAACAGCTGAGTGCATGTAGATCCTGCTTTGACCTTTCCTAGCAGTGTTGTGTTGCTGTTGGCATCTATTCCAAAAGCTTGCCCGTAGATTTTACAAGACCTTTTGTTTACAGTGCAAAGAGAGAACTGAATTACCAGGATAAGGAAGGCCAGAGATGGAATTTGAGTAATGGTGACTTGATAGGCCACAGTGAGTGCAGTCCCAACAGGCTCTGCCTTGCTTGACCTGTGGTCAGGTGTCCCAGGCTCATTTTCAGTGACCACCTCCTGCTGCAGAACTCTGACATGCCCAGAGTGAGACCTGGGTGAGACAAAGGGCTGTGAAAGAGTCACACAGACAATGGCCTGAGTGAACAGAATTGTCTTGGAGAAACTACAGCAAAGCTGCAGCCTGCTAACCAGAGATGAGACCCTCTTCTCTAAACCCAGGATTTGTGGAGTTTGTTTGATCTTGAGAAAGGAAAACACTGTTGTGTGTGACAGCTGTCTCAAAATCAAGTCCAACACACAGAGTCTTCCTGCAGGCATTCTGGAAGCTCTGGAGAATCTTTGTGTTGTTTCACAACAGCTGAGGTGACTGCCTAGCTAGATCATCCATCAAAAACAATGAACCTCTTAAGAAACCTCCATATATTTTTGACCCATTTTTGAGGATCATCTTCTCTGATCTCCAGAACTGTCCCTGCCAACAAGGAAGAGATCAAGCAGAGGTAGGAGGCCTGAATGGATGAATAAGTAAGAATTAAGCATAAGAAGTGTTCAAGAGGTGGAAGAAGGGACATGTGTCCCAGAGGAATTTAGAGGTACTGTCAGAATATGCAGGTGTGTTGTTATGAAAGGCAAGGCACACCTGAAATTGGATTTACAGAGGGATAGGAAGGTTCAACAAGAAAGGTTTCTAAGGTAACTAAAGGCCAAAGGGTGACTAGGGAAAAGGTGTGGCCAAGGCAGGACACTTGGTGACAAAGGACATGGGAAAGCTGACAATGCCACCTTGGTCTCAGCCTTCACTGGTTGTATTTGCCTTTAGGAACCTCAGGCACTTGAGATCATTGTAAAATGCAGGGCAAGGAAGACTTCCTGTCATTGGAGAAGGATCAGGTTAGGGAATATTTAAATAAACCAGACCCTGACAAGTCCCTGGAACCTGATGGGTGGCACTCACAAGAGCTGAGGGAACTGCCTGATGGAGTTTGAGGACACTTGACAATGTTCGAAAGGTTGTGGCAATGAAGAGGAAGAAAGCCAATGTCACTTCTGACTTCAAGAATGGGAAGAAGAGGAAATGGAAAACTAGAGGCTGGTCAGCCTCACCTGAGTCCCTGGAAGTGGTGGAGCAAATAGATCTGGAAGCTATTTCCAGAATATGAAGGTCAAACAGGCAGTCA